CGCAGGAGGGAACAGGTCCGACAGAAGCACTACATCATCCTCCGGACTCCTAGTATAGGTTTTCTCGCCGTCGATAGGGGAGGGAAGCGTTCCGCCGCGGCGTTGTCGCAGATACTGCCGGGTGATCCATTGTTCTTGGGAGGTCAGCAGCTGATAGAATGACTTGCAGACCAGCTTCAGCGGTAATAAATCGGTGACGCCGCAGTGGGCGAATATCTTGATCTGGATTTCAACGGGGAGGAGGTCCCAGGGGGCCGAGGTCGGTACTATGTCCACTCTGTCAACATTGGGAAAACCCACGTCAGTAACGAGCACGCCTCTAGGCTTGAGCGTCGGTCATCTATCTTCAGCAGGGGCGGTCCAACGTACAACGACACGGAAGATGGCACTGCACCGTGTTTGGAGGAATTGCTCTTCTTGGCGTCGGATCTCTTGCCTCTGTTGATGGCAGCGCGTGCTTTTTTGGCTTGCAGCATAAAATTGTGGAATGTACTCATCGTCAAGTACCATTAGACATGAGGAGGCCAGCTCCGACTTCAGCACTTTGAGAATAGACAGCTTGACACCATAGAGAGCCCTGATTTCTCTCGTCGATCGTTTAAAAGGGATTCTCCACTGGCGCCTTTTGGGGGGTAGAGGGGCGATGACTAAGCAGGGCTGAGCAAGAGGATTGTTGCTAATTTAGAAGCAGGCCACGAATAGAAGCGGACCACACGGGGTGTATAGGCTGGGTGAGGTGAATCTGGTGTAGGTAGAGGTAGATAGAGGCGAGATCATGTTCAAAAGATGAGACTAGAGAAGGAGAGAGAATGGAGACGGAGGCAGATGCGGTCGTCTGAAACGGACTGCTGATTGGGGGCTGGATTCACTACTCGTGGCGACTGAGTGCAAGAGATGACCAGTCACTGACCAGTCAAGCGCTGCAATCGCGTGGAATTCCGCTTAAGCGGCGGCTAACCATTAGCTAACATAGTCTAATGACAGGTGAGAAGGGGGGTGGTTTTATGTCAACTTGGCAGACATGCATGCATAATAAGGTAATCATAGGATTGGAGAGGGGTAACTAAGTCAGTGTAAGTCAAGAAGCAAGCCGTGTCACAATCCGGAGTCGGACTTACGTCATTAGGAACAGGGGTCAGCACCGGGTATTGTTCACTTCTTCGACAACGAGGGGCACGCTGGGCATCATTCTTGCCTGGCACAGCTCACTTAATCTGAGAATCCAACGTCCTTTGTACTGAGTCACCAAGTCTTGCCGATACGAACTATGTCCAAGAATATCCTCATCGTCGGTGCTACCAGAGGCTTGGGGTCATCCCTCAAGACTCTATATGCAGGGAGACAATCCACGAAGACGGTTTTTGCAACCACCCGAGATTCTACGAAGCCAAAAGACGAGCCTCTCGTCTCATGGATTCCGAACATTGACGTGTCCAAACCTGATGTCGGCCAAAGTTTGGTTTCCCAGCTGCCCTCATCTGCCAAGATCTCAACAGTGATCATCTCCGCGGGCTATTTTGGGTTCGAGACATTTGATGATCCCGATTGGGAGAAAGAAGTCAAGATGTATACCACCTCTGCTATTGGGCCTGTCTTTCTAGTCCATCACCTGGTCAAAGCCGGACTCTTGGATGCCGGTAGCAAGATAATTCTGGTCAGTAGCGAGAGTGGAAGCATTACGCTGCGTCATGAGAAGGAGGGTGGCGGAAATTATGGTCATCATGCCAGCAAAGCAGCTCTTAATATGGTCGGGAAGCTGCTGAGTTTGGACCTCAAAGACAAAGGAATTGCTGTCGGCATAGTCCATCCTGGGTTTATGCGCACGGAGATGACAAAGGGTGTGGGATTTGACAAGTACTGGGATGCCGGCGGAGGTAGGTCGTCGAATCGTTTGCATGTGTCACCTGTTTCTCGTTTAGAGACACACTGACCGCTTGTCCTTGCAGCTGTCACCCCAGATGAGGCAGCAGAATCGCTAGCTTCATTTACAGACACGTTCGACATCAGCAAGACCGGACAATACTGGGCACCGCGGGGCCCCAGGTTTGTGTAGCCTTTCTGAAGATTCAGAGAACCAAGCTAATCTGGCCAGGGACATTGGGACTGCCGAGCCTGTCCTAGGTAGCGACTTGCCGACACCCCTCCAACTGCCCTGGTAGGGAACTTTTGGCATGTTGAAGCTGGTGCTGGCACAGTGGTAACCAGAAGGGTCCGTTTAGCTTATTTATCAGTAGCACTGGACATATGCTGTGCAGGATTTCATCGATACGAGGCATAGATTGCTTGTTGTAGGATTGAAAAGTGCTGGCAGTTGAAGTCGGTCGAAGGTCTAGCCTATAGAGCTCTGGTCGGTTTGGCGATACGAGAGCGACTCTGGATGTAAAGAGAGGACAAATACATTGGATTTCCCATGAGTTCTGACCTGTATAACAATATCAGCTGGGGCTGGAGCCAAATAATGCCAACTGGTGTCGGTCAAGGCGGATCGAAGAGCAAAAAAGAAAATCATCTTGCATCATCCGTGAATCGAACACGGGCCTCATCGATGGCAACGATGAATTCTACCACTAGACCAATGATGCTTCTTGTTGAAAAGAATTTTGGCTGTACGTTAATGACCCAACTGCCACAAAAGACGTCTCGCTGTGGTGGTTAGTAGCTTGGTGATAACAATTCCGGCTAACGTGTTTTTGCTGCGTGTTGCGTGTTGCCATGTTGAATCCCACCACGGGCCCGACAACATAGCCTTGTGATTATATTCGCCGATATCATTACTATGGATGTTTTGGCATGCCTAGGCATTCATAACATTTCGGCTCAGCCATAAAGCAGGTTTTCCGACCCGCGGTCTGCATGCATGCACACGAGGAATGCCATCCCGAGCCGATAATGACATATTGTATGGTCTAGGCTGGGAATCGCCTTCATGCCAGCTCGATCTCTGCATTCATGCTTTGAAGTCAAGAGCTCAGCCCGGGGATATACCCCTTTTCCAGGAGGAACATTCAATTAACAGGATTAGAAGGTGTGCCGACCGTTCTGTTTGTCACGCAAACCATGAGCATGTTGATCGAGGATTGGAATAGACCCCGACCATCAATGAAGTAGGGACCAACTTCTGGTTCTAGTGAGATTAGCAGCAATAAAGTATGCGATCCAGCGGAAATATGCGTATGACCCACTACCAAAGCACCATTGCCTGAGGTCAACGGTTGTACTGAGTACCAACGATTGTGGTGGGGTTGCCGCATTGAACTTCTTCTCTGCCGATGCTACTACCCATTCCAGTCCCTGTACCGCCTTGAGTGTCACACTATAGCATGACGATAATTCCATCATGTTGTTTATCATCACACGAAGCAATGTAGGACCTGCTTGAAGCACCCACTGTCGCATTTGAGCATACCCCCAGATCAGGAAATCGGGGTTGACTTCTTGGTGGCACAGGGCAGTACTATTAGTTCAACCTTAGCCCGACGACACACGAAGGAAGGATGAAGGATCATGGCACAGCCCCGTCGCGCCCGATCCCTTGGCGGAAAAAAAGTGGGGTCATGCTCCGTGCCTTCCTTTCTACCAGTCAGTGACTCAGCATACTTAACAAAAGACAATGGGAAGTCGTATCGGGTGACACAACAAACCACAGGATAAGTTGTTGACCCAGGTTGTTTGCTGCGGTATATACTTTGTCCAACGGGCTCAGCCCGCCGGGCGTATATTTTACAATTTCCAATGCCGAACATCCGTCGCATTTCGCGCTAAATCCTTCGCTTTTCCTCGGGGGAAAGTAGACGTATGCCAAGGTTGGCAACACTAGTGTCCAAGGCGGGTCCACGGTCAAAAGACTCAATAGTTAATAGGGCTGTGCACCGCAGAGCCTCAGATGCGACGGGAAATACGTACAACCATTGACCTGACCAAATGATGACCAGTCGAGGGACTAGAAAACGTCTGGAAGTATTATTCCCTTCACGTGGACAGAATGACAGAAGATCTGGGTGCCCCGCTCAACGAGGCACAGTATCCCAGGGTACCAGGGCAACGATGCAGAGGAATGTCGAACCAAACAACGTTGCAGTAGGGGCATCCCGATCGTCCCGTCCATGTGTCGAGTGGCCAGTTTTTATGTAGGTATTGAATCCGTATGGTTGGCCAGCTCTTCTTGCTTTTCGCAAGTGATGTAATTGGTGATCGACCAGGGGTGGTCGGTATTGGCTAGTGAATTGCTCAGAGATTTGAGACCGGGTAAGACGGCCATTTTTTTCAATTGGCACGCATTGGATCTCTTGCGGACTAGTTTCTAGGCTGTACGCTAAGCCATAAACCAAGAAGGTCTGCTGTGAAAGGAGAGCTTTAATCGACCTATGGTGAATCTTTATGTGGGGAGCCGAGTAACTCTAAGAGTATCAAAGGTTCTTGAAGTCTGCCTCAAGGAGCTCTAAGCCCCCCTCCCGACTTCCGAAGATAGGGGCGAGGGGCGTGAATCTCTGCTGCTCTTATGATGAGTTGTGAGCTCAGCCTTGGACCCTGTTCCAATGAGAGCGACAGCAAGATCAGATTTGAGTTGGCCAAGAGGCGGCCTGAGGAATCAAGGGCCTCAAGGCGGCGGCCCCGATAGCCTAGTTGGTAGGAATGGGCCAGACCCCACAGCTGGGCGAAGCCAACTTAGTCTTACACATACATGTTGTAGATCCACTTGATAGGTGATACCCCTTAGCTCATGCGGAGAAAGAACATCTGATCTCCGGGCAAGTGACATGGAAGGATCGATGAATGACGGTAGAGTACAGTTAGTACAGCAGTACTCCAGGCTAGTGAATGGACTAGTTGCATGCGGTAGGTGCCGTTGGCAGCTTTGAGCTTTGGGACCAAACGAAAAGTAAAATGTCCGACAGCTGCGAGCGGCCCTCCCCTCCCATGGTCGGACGACTCACACACCAGCTCGACTACTATTTAAACATCTCTTCCCCTCCTTCACGGCCCTGCTTTTTGACTTCATCCATCATTCCTCAATTTAGCCTTGCATTTATCTTGAGGTTTCTTACGTGCCCTTGCCTGACAGATATCATACCACTTCATCTATCCGACTGTTGTATACAAACGGTCGCGCATTAACCATCGTCACTCATACAATCTGAAACACATATCAACCATGTCCGACATCAATGGAAAAGCGCCTGCCCAGCCGGTGGACCCCCGCCCCTCGGCTTCGGCGCGCAATAATTTGGTCAACGTGCAGCCGGCGCGCCTGGAGGACTTGCAGCCCAAGTACGCTCAGCAAATCCAGCACAGCGAGGACAACCCGGACGCGCATGGCTGGTACGCAGGATTCAGTGAGTTCACTTGATTCAATAAGATCCCTCTTCTTCCTAGATCCCGGTCTAACAAAGCACCTCCCTCGGTAGTCCACGGACTGGGAGAGTTTATCGGATGTCTGGGTGCCATACCATGCTGCTTTTGTTGCCCAAACCCCTTCAAGCCGGTTGCACAAGGTGAAGTCGGCCTGATCACAAGATTTGGACGGTATGTGACTTTCGCTCGCCCTTGTACTCCCATGCCTGCGTTGAACCGCATATACTGATGTTTCGCGCTCTTAGATTCGAACGCGCTGTCGACCCCGGTCTCGTCAAGGTGAACCCTCTGAGTGAGCACCTCACGGCTGTGGACGTCAAGATCCAGATTGTTGAAGTGCCTCGCCAAAGCTGCATGACCAAGGATAACGTCAATTTGAACCTGAGCTCCGTTATCTACTACCAGATCGTCTCGCCTCACAAAGCTGCATTCGGTATTTCCAACATCCGACAAGCGCTCGTAGAGCGCACACAAACTACCTTGCGCCATGTGATCGGAGCGCGGGTTCTGCAAGATGTGATTGAGCGCCGTGAAGAAATTGCCCAGTCGACATCGGAGATCATCGAGGACGTGGCATCCGGATGGGGTGTCGCAGTCGAGTCGATGCTCATTAAGGATATCATTTTTAGTAATGACTTGCAAGACTCACTCTCTATGGCTGCGCAGTCCAAGCGTATTGGTGAGAGTAAGGTTATCGCTGCCCGGGCTGAAGTGGAGTCGGCCAAGCTTATGCGTCAGGTACGTTTCAAGAGCTGTTCTCGTTAGATCCAAGTCGCAGTGACTAACTCAAACCCTTCAGGCCGCCGATATCCTGTCCTCGGCTCCTGCTATGCAAATCCGCTACCTTGAGGCGATGCAAGCCATGGCCAAGACGGCCAACAGCAAGGTCATTTTTCTCCCAGCAATGAACCAGACAGTGCAGCAGCAGCTTGCAGCAGCTGAAAATGCTGGGGAGGGACCCAGCCGATATGGACAACAAGCCGAAGATGGATTTCAGCGTGCAATGAATGCACGTGTGGTCGAGGATATCTAAGCACCACGGCATTGTCTTTTGTGATATGGCGGAGGTTGATGCTTAAGTTGATGAGTTTGATGGAGATGTCGCGTGGTTGGACCTGTTTGGATCTTGCCCATGACGTTCTCTAAGACAGCGTTGCTGCTGCTACATTGTGCTTTTTACATGGATGCTGCAGCCTGCATTCATGCGCGGATGATTATGACGATACCCACCCTCGTTTTCGCTTTTGCTTCTGATACTCCCGGAATGCGTTTGACCTTCTTTGTTGATAGTTTCTGCTATCGCTTTGCTAATATCCTTGACCTGATAATATTATTGTGCTCCGATCGAGATTAGCTCGATATTGGTGTTATCATTGCAGCTGCCACCGTACTGTACCTAACTGGAAAGCTCAGTAAACTAAAAGTTGTATCATAGAGGTCCATGTTTCTAGAACCTCAGAAAAGGCTATTCAACGTTTATTTCCCACACTGGTGTACAGTACATACAGAGCATACTGCCGTGGGCGGTGTGCGGTCAAGTGCGGAGGTATTTGTATGGGGAACGGCGACAATCCCGCAACCCCCCCCCCCCTCCCGGTCTGTCCTCAAGTTCGCATAGCTAATTATTTAGCTCCCTTACTTTCGGTACCTTGTCACCACTGGCAGCCTGCCGATGAAAACAAGCACACAATCAAACCGATAGACTCGCCGCCTAGAGGATCCCAGACTGAAAAAAAGGAAACAACCAGCGAAGGTCAAGCCAGCATGGCTCCCTCCAAGACCCCCAGCCCAGCGCCCCCCTCAGCCAGCGCGCGACCGTCCCTCGAGCAGAACATCAACCCCGACTTCACCGACCCGTCCTTCGATCCCGCCGAATACCTCAACAATGCACTCCCTGCCCTGACGCTGGCGTCTTCGCAGTCGATCAACAGCAGCAACAACAGCAGCAGCAGCAATCCCCCCCGAGGGGCGGCCGCCGGCTCCTCCTCCGTTCCTTTGCTCGAGATGTCCACCCAAATCCAGTCCGTTCTCTCGCAGATCAGCGCGCACAATGTCCGGTACTCGAGCACGCTCACGCGATTGACCGATGAGATCTTACGGGGCGGCAGTCGGTTGGCCTACGAGGTGGAGGTGCTGCGCGGCGAGACGATTGCGTTGTCGGATACGTTTGCGGAGGCGCTACGTGGAGACATTGCTAAGTTTGTTCCGGAGGGCCACCCGGAGGGGGTGAATGGGGGTCAGAAGGGGTTGGATGATAAAGGGGAGGGCTATGATCGTGACTCTGAAGCTGTTGGTGCCGGAGCGGGGGATGTGGATGGCAAGGCCGAGGAGACAGAAGCAGAGGCAGAAGCTGCTACGATACAGGATCCGGAGTTCATTACGAAGCTACGTATGCTGAATCAGGTGCGGGCTCGGTTGGAGGAGGTCGTGCAGACGTTCGGGGACGCGATGGAGTGGCCCATCCCGCCGTCGGAGACCTCCCTGGCTTCGTCGTTCATCTCAGTGTCGGCGCCAGAGGCCGGGCCGGAGAATCAAAGTCGGGAGGAGAAGGGGCAGGAGGTGGCCAGGCGACTGCGGGCGGAGGTGACGGGGCTTCTGGAGAGCAATGGTGGCGGTCTGGAGGGGGTGGAGGCTGCGTCGCGCCGGGTCGAGGCGCTGCGGACGTTGGCGTTGGTCTGGAAGGGGACGGCTGAGGAGAAGGCTCGGACTCGCGTTGTGGACAGCCTGGCGAAAATCGTTGAGGATCGTCGCAGAGCTCTGGAAAGCCAGAGCCGAGCGGACTCGTCGCAGCAAGCTTCTGGCTCTTCTACCAGAGCACAGTCGGCGGGCCACCGACGGCAGGAGAGCGAAGGCCCGGCCGGTGGCATTTTCCGCAACTTGCAGCGGTTACGAGAGGAGATCTATCTTGAATGAGATGATAGCTACTACGATTAATCATTAGCATATTTATGTCCCAGCAAGTAGAAGCAAAGCTTCTTACTAATTTCTCGATCTGTTGCATGTCACTGGTGCGGAGATTCTTGGAATGAATATCTATCTCAGCTGTCCATTGTCCCTCTTCCATGTTGGGAAGGGGAGGGGTAAGAATGCTGCCGCTTGCACGGGAGACTGTGTGATAGGACGGCGGGTGGTCCCTCTTCAGGCTTGCGCCATTCGAAGGCTTGGTAGCTCTTAGCGTCCCGTGCAGAGAAAGGCTTAAGTTTCCCAGCATTGCGCATTTGCTGCCCACCTGCTGCTGTGTCCGTGAACCATAGGCTGGATTCCAAACTAGCTCGGTTAAGAGCTTCATCATCTATTCCCAGCGGGCCAGAGCCGACCGTATCTGTGGGGGTGGTGCATTGGGAAACGTCAGAGAGCGACGTACTCAGAGAGGGACACCTAATGTGAAACGAGTATGCGACTGCTGCCAAGACTGCGGGAGGACAGAGAGAAGCAGCGAGAGCATGGATGCGCAGGGCTGATGACGCGGCACCGCCCAGAGAATGGTTGTTGGGATAGATACCCGGGTAAGTAGACAGGATGTTGTACAGAGATAAATCTTCACTAGAGATTGATTGATTCAGGGAAAAGACGATCTTGGAGAGTTCGTGATGACATTAATCTGTCCAACTCTCGTACAAGCTCAAGCTCATGCATGTTGTTGGAACAATAAGATGGTACTTGAATAAGATGGGTCGAAAAAGAAAGCTGGCAGTGGATTGAACAATGAATGGACTTCCAACCCCCCACCGGGGCAGAGAAGAAAAGCGACCGCCAATCAATACCCGAGCGACTTTATCCAGTGATTCCAGTCCCTGACGGCTCCCCCCCCCAGCAGGCAACGTAAAAGTCACCACTTCCACTTCTCAATTGACTAACTAAACTAAACTTAAACATCGCTCGGACTAGACCTGTTCGACCGGTCTTCGACTAAAGAACTTCTTCTTCTGCCTCTTCTTCACCTACTTCTTTTTCCTCCGCCGCCTCCGCCTCGGATTCCCCCTCCTTCTGACTCTTTGCGACTCCTTTCACTTCCTATCGTATGGATCTTTCCCCTTGTTGTTGCGCTGGTCATCATCATCCTTTGAGTGCCGTGCCCACCATTGGCTTGCCGTCCCACATCTCCACCTTCTTCCCCGGCTCCATCATGGCTCTTTGCGACCTTTGTTGATTTGCCTCTTAAAATTGCTCCCTCCCCGGTTGCCTTTCTACCCTGGCTCTGGCTCAGTGGTTGCACGCTCCGCCTGCAGGAATGTTCATCGCCGGGTATATACTTCTGAACATTGGCTGATTTCCCCTGCTCTGGCTCCAACCGATACGAACTGGCAACATAATCCGATTGCCTATCGCCATTAGTGAGCGGTGGTTCTTCACACCACCCCCTGGTGAAGCATTTCATATTTCGCGCTGAGCGACCGCGAGAATGTCAAGTCGAGGCATTCTTGACGGCCAATGGGCCGATCAATACAAGTATATGCGGTCGTCCGCATCCTCATTCTGGCTGCAACATCTCCACCCTCGTCGCTTAAGAGCTCGTCCCATCAGGACTTTCTCCCTAATCGCAGCATGTTTTTTCTTGCTCACCTTATGGTCGCGCTCATCCAGCGAGGTAGATACATTGCCTCCTGCCCTACAATGAACCCGATTGCTGATTAGGATTCCTTGCTAGCCATCGATTAACTTCTGGGTAAAGTACCCATCCTACCCTCCGACGCGACAGCGCCCTGAAGATACGCCAATGCTCCTTAGCGGGCGACATGCCATGAACAAGAACGAGACCGCCCCTCTGGGCCTAGGAAGGTCGGCGCCGTCCTTTCACCTCCTTATACCCGTGTCGCACAAATCAGCTTCGCTCTGTCGCACCGTGACGTCGTCGATGATCCTGAACTACCCACCGCCGACCCTGATCAGCTACGGAAAATCCACTTCGGACGGGAGCACAGAATACTCCGCCATGGTAGACAGGATCGCGGGGATATACAATTACCTCGCATACAGCACACAACTGAATGACGATGATCTGGTCCTCATTGTCGACTCGCAGGATGTGTTTTTCCAGTTGCCTGCAGAGGTGTTGGTTCAGCGTTTTCAGGACCTGCTACGGGAGACCAATGAGAAATTGCTACGCAAATATGGCACCATAACCCTGGACCTGCCCTTTCGTAAAGAAGGCAAACAGACTTTGCAAAAATACTCTCAGAGAGTCTTGTTCGCCGCTAGCAAGACGTGTATATCGAGTCTTTCTCAGGATCCAGGTTGCGTGACGGTACCGCAATCGAGTTTGCCTCCTGATGCTTACGGTTGGAAGACCGACACGGAAGGACACTTGAATCGACCACGGTGGCTCAAGCCTGGCGCAGTCATGGGCCAGGTGGGTGATTTAAGGCTCATATACGCCGAGATATTGCATTACGTCCATCAGCACCGCAACTCGCGGGGAGACTATCTGGCGATGACCCAAATGTTTGGGCGCCAGGAATATTTGCGCGAGCTGGAACGAAGAAACAGCGCCAGCAGGCTGAAAGAATGGCTCTATCGCCAAATCGGCATCTCGGATGCGTCAAATCTCACTGGAGCCATCCCGCCACACTTGACAGCGGGCGCTCGGTATGAGTATGGCATCGGGGTTGACTATGAATCCCGTTTGTTCTTCAACATGTTCAACGCCAAGATGGATGTCGAATGGCTCCACTATCACAACGTGAGCACGACTTCAGCGGTGCAGATGAAGCATGGCGTGCCCAGAGAGAGACGTCTCATGCTTCCCGAAGACCTTGATCCCGTGAAACTCGGCAATCCATTTGTTCAGCCCCGATTTACGAAGGATGACTGGCCAAACCCCCCTTGGAATGCTACACTGGACAAGCTGCCAAATTATCGCAACCACACGTGGCGTGATCTTCCATTGATGACAAACATCCATTCGGCATCTGTCCCAGCTCTGCTACATCTCGACGGGGATAAATCTGTTCGTGACAAATGGTGGTCAGAGATGTGGTACCAGCCATGGGCCCGGGCACTTCTCCGCAAGTACATGCGCACCGGCTCTGGATTTGACGCCTCTCAGTCTGCCTTGATGGGAGGCCAAGAATGGTGGGACATGCGTGGCGGCAAGGGAGGTCTGTGGACGGACAAGGGTGAGTGGCTCAATTATGGCGAGGTTTGTGGCAGCTATACCAGGGATGTGTTCGACGATGATCTTGGGCCATTTGGCCAGGAGAATGGAGAGGATGCCGACGAACCCGTCTACAACCAATTCGGGAATGTCATCAAGGGTAAAGAGGATCTGGCCTCTACCCCGTGGTAGACCGCTCCTCTTGGATCTCAGAGACTGGTTTTCTGAGGTCCGAGCCCACAGAGAGGCGGATGAGACGCGTGCTGGCTGACGCTCTCATGTAGCCGCCAGGCGTGATCGATTCTCGTTGCACATATTACGCGATTGGCGCCACGGAGCGCAGCAATAGTCCGGTCATGAGTCATGGCTGTGCATATATTCCCACGGTGTTGGGCTTTCCTTATTTGAATTAGCGAATTATGCTGTCTGCTTCGCTGTGAAACGTGGCATGCCTTTAGAGCAGCCGCTTTGAAAGGGCTAGCGTCCTCACTTGGACTGCGCGGAAGCAGTAGCCACTGCATATAACTCATCAGAGATACCAATCTTGTATAGATAGATAGAGCATGCCTTAATTTCATTCCCCCATACAAGCTAATGACAAAAAAAAAAATATCAGTAAAGTCAGATTATATGAATCTGTTTCAAGACAATGCCTATCATGTCAAGCATCACGGGTATATATATAGAATCCACTACCAACACTTTTCCTCTCCAAGTCTGTACCTAAAAGCATCAATCGATCTCAACTCGCAGCCGCAGCCGCAGCACCTCCTCCCAACGTCTCCCGAATGATAGTCAGAATCCCCGCTACATCCGCCTCACTCAACCGTTCCTCCCGCTCCTCGATAACGGTATCCAACAGAGCCATAGCCCCGTAATCCTCCTCCGCCAATTCTCCATTACCCGCTTCCCCATTCTCACCACCAGCACCAGCAGCATCCTGGCCCCCATTGGTGGCCCCCTCATCCACCTCCATCTCCTCCGGCTGCTCTCCCTCCTCTCCCGCACCGCCCTCTTCTTCCACTACCTCTTCCTCATATTCCTCCGTCTCCCCCCTCCTCCTCCTCCCCCTCCTCAGCCGCAGCAGCCGGCATCAACCCAATCCCCAGATTAATAATCATGAGCACCTCACCCTTCGTAAGACCATAGGGTTTCAACCTGGTGACGAGGTCCCGGAGGGCACGGTCGATGGGAGTCGGCTTGTTGAGGAGTTTCGGGGGCAGGAGCGTCGGGGGCGCCGCCGAGCCGGTATCTTTGTTGCTGTTGTTGTTACTGGTGTTGTGGAGGTTGGCGTGCGCCTGTGCCTGCGCCTCGAGTTCCGCGAGCGGGATGTGCGTATACTGCGGGTAGGATTGAAGGTGCGGGGAGAGGCGCGAGACGTAATTGTGGATCTGGGTTCGAGATTTTAGTTATTTGTTTAGGGGAGTGGTGTCTAGAGCTGAGCAACAGGCTATACGCACTTCCTTGACGACGGTATTGTGGTCGCGGAGATCCGGGCTGGGAACCCAGTGGCGGGAGTTGGGCGGCGGGTTGGGAGGTCGTCGCGGCGGGTTGGCTGTCAGGTAGGCTAGGACCTCGATGTTGGAGAGGACGGCGGATTGGGGGTCGATGATCTGGGTGTGTTAGTATTTAAGGGTTTTGGGTTGGGAGGGTGTTATAGGATGTTGGGCGCACCCTCATGTTTGTCAATTTGGAGATTGGCTGGTTTGGATTGATTCTAGATTTGGTTTGATGGGTTCGAGTGTTGCGGAAAAAAAGTGCTGGAGATGCGGGGCGGAGAGGAGGGATTCTGCCGGTTGATGAGGGCGGTAATAATGACTGTAAATTGCCTGAGGCTGAGAGCGGTCGGTGAGATGTCTGGACACTGGACAGTTTCCGATGCGGTATGATGGGCTATGCTTCGGGTACCTGACCTGTGTAGGAACTAATCTAGTGCTGCTACGACTTGCACTTATGACAATCTCTTGAGCAGAATCTAACTTGTATCATTCTTCTTCTATTATGTACTCACCCGTGATTCTAAGCTTATTCCATCCTGCAGATACTGACTAGAAACCTGGCAACACGTGCGCAACATGCTGGTCTGCCCCTTTCAGCAGTTTATCTCATGCAGCTATGGTGGAAGCTTAGCGATTTCCAGTGTGGCACTAACAGCCCAGCGTGATTCACCTTGATACATACTTCCCTACCTTGCTGTTTGCTATGCAGTGATAGTCTTTGTTATGCTCCGTCCTGCAGCAGGCCTTGCCTGGATCAAGCGAGCACCTCGCAAACACCCTGAGGTTCTGGTAATTGGGGCCGATGCGGGTCCATGATTCCGTTCCTGCAGACAGCCCTCGCAGACTGAGACCCGTGGTCGAAATTGGCCCGCAAACCAATCGGTCCGATCATCTACTCACACGCCAGACCTGGGCAGACATCATACTCTATCAAGATCGACTTGGATGTTGTTGTTTCAGGCTGCGTCCCGGAAAAAAAAGCAGTAAAGCAGACTCCGTGTCTCCTGTTCCTGAACAGCACAAGGGTCTGAACATGCGGAATTCGCTAGCAACACTTTGCTTCTTCTCGGAATTTGCACTGCTTAGTGATAGAGGACTAGCCGTTGTGCAGCAGATGAGGATATTCGCGAGTCCACTCTTGTCCCCTGAACCTGATTTCGTCAGATCTTTGCAATCAAACCGGTCGTTTCTAGTCGGCCGTCCATCTTATAGCCACTTGCCTTGACCCACGGAACCCGCTTTTGACCCCCAACGCCCATGATTAGATGGAACTCTAGATAATTTCCTGCACCCGACGGCAAATGCTCGAGCCCACTGCGCCCGTTTCCTCGCGAGGGGCTCGTTCGACGACGGACTTCGACTGATCAGCGACATAGCTTGCCTAATCCAGATGGAAAATTCCCTCGTGGATGAGGGTCTTTCCATGTATATTGTACAAGTGGATCTCCGGGCCGTGTTCAAACTGCCCGAATTTCGGAAAGGGACGGGTTTCGACTCTCGAAGCTAGCTTGACTACGCGACCGGCATTCAGCTTTCCCTTGAGATGAAGGTTTCCAGAACTGATTCAACGCAGGGATGCGGATCGAAATGACAGGCCACGCTCGGGTAATGATGGCGAGCTTCCCGACAGTGTACACCTGAAAACCCATGCGACTATAGCCCGCTATGGAGAACTATAAATTGATGTCTTATGCTGCCTGATCTCCCTCTGACTGGACTTTATCATTCACAACGCCTTTCAGTTAACCGATATGCGCTCTGCTCTTGTTGGGGGGCTGGTTGCCATTGGCTCCGCTCTCGGAGTCGCTGGCTCGCCACATGCACACACTGTTGAGAAGGCCGACGCATATGACTACATCGTCGTCGGTGGAGGGCCTTCTGGCATCATTACCGCCGAGCGTCTGGCAGAGGCCAACAAGAAAGTTCTACTGCTAGAGCGAGGGCGTGGTCCGACTGTGGCTACGGGTGCCAATGACACGCTTGTTTGGAACAAGAACTTGACCCCAGTCGATGTGCCAGGCCTGTCTGCCGACATTGGTGCTCTACCTGAGTGGGAGGAGTATGTTTGTACCGATACTGCTGGGAGTGCAGCCTGTGTTCTCGGTGGCGGTGTGACTGTTAACTACATGGTCTTCGTGCACCCACCAGACCATGACTTCGACGACAAGTGGCCCCAGGGCTGGAAATGGAACGATGTCAAGTCTGCTGCCGATAGGCTTTACGAGCGCAACCCAGGAACTATCCTGCCCTCTGCAGATGGCAAGCGCTACGACCAAGGGCTCTACATTGTGCTTTCCAACTTTTTCAGCAACATCGGTTGGAAAGCAGTCAATATGATCTCGCAGCCCAACGAGAAGCACCAGGTCTACAGCTACCCTTCCTGGAACCTTAAGGACCAGAAGCGTGCGGGCCCGGTCCGCACCTACCTTCCCCTTGCTGAGAAGCATAAGAACTTTGAGCTTCAGCTTGGCTCCAAGGTGACTCGTGTACTCCGTTCCGGTAGCAAGGCCACTGGGGTCGAGGTCGAGAACGCCTCCGGTCGTCTGGAAAACATCACGCTGGCCGCCAACGGCAGAGTCGTCCTGTCTGCGGGCGCCCTTTCAACACCTCGCCTCTTGTTCAACTCGGGTATCGGACCTCAGTCTCAGATCGAGACCGCTCAGAAGAGCGGCATTATCGTCCCACCCAAGAACGAATGGATCAACCTCCCCGTCGGTGTAGGTCTCAAGGACCACCCCATCTTCACCATCGTCGTCAAGACCAATGGCACGTACGGCCCGCTTGACTGGACAGGCATCTACAACGGCACTGATACCACCGACATCAGCCTCTATGCCAAGGGCGACGGTGTGCTGACTCAAGGAAAGCACCGGCTGATTTTCTTCTCCTCCAACGTGGTCGATGGCCAGACCCGGTACTACCAAGGATCATGCGCGCCCACTGGCGAAAACGAAGTCACCCTGACGACCTACATGACCCACGGTCTCACCTCTTCAGGTGTCCTTGGACTGGATGCTGACGGCAACACCGTCTATGAGCAGACCCCTTGGATGAATACCGCGGGCGATCGCGCTGCGGCCAAGCTGTTCATCCAGGGCCTGGTCGACGACCTGACTGCTCCCTCCACCGGCTTCCAACTGGAGGCCAACACCAACGTCTCTTCCATCCTAGCCAACCCGACCACCGGTATGCACTACACGACCACCGCAAAGATGGGCACGGACGATGGCCGCCACGGGAACGGTACCTCTGTCGTTGATACCAACACGAAGGTCTATGGAATGGATAACTTGGTATGTGATATCTCTCTGCAACATGAAGAACGTTTGCTGATGATTCGCGCGTGCAGTACATTGTCGACGGCAGTATTCACCCCGACCTTCCCACCGGCAACATCCAAGCCACCATCATGGTCGTGGCCGAGGCTGCTGTGGCCAAGATCCTGGCTCACCATTAAGTCTGGTGTTTAAGGGAAATGGAGTCGAGAGGGGGTCGCATACTCTTGAAGAGGCTGATAGACACTCGGATGTTTATTGTATAGATGATCAACGGAGTAATGAGACATAAGCTTTGCTATATAGTGATTTCTCGACTCTCGATTCATTGTAACTAACTGTACTCTACCTACAAGGGTCAGCACAGTCTCCTTGAACCCAATCGTCCTATGTGTATATATGGTCGAGAGCAGCACCCCACCAAGTCCCCTTCCCGATTCCCGCTCGTAGTGGCCTCACAATCACTCCGCCCAAGCCTCTCCACTGATAATCCGTAAAAACGGCAGTCGGCGATGCTGGAAGTACGTGATCTAGACTTTTCTGCATGCTCATGCATCTCGGTATAGTTACATAAGTGCATCTATCTTGACGAGCCATTTCATCGCCACTCGCTCAGATCACACAGATTCTGATTTACATCTTGTCTCTTGTTACCCGTTCGCTACCGGAGAAACATAAAATCTTGCTCACAACACGACGCCTCATCCCTCCCCGGGGATACTTCAATCTCCATATGGTGGGTGCTGTGGTGGTCGGTGTGGGTGAAACATCCGCGATAACGGGTGGTATGTGGGCAAAATGACGATTGTCCTTTTTTTTTTTTTTTTTTTCCCCCCGCGCTGGGGATTCGCGTGTAGGATGATGTGATAATTAGATGCAGGTCTTCTGGTTTATTTTCCAAAAAGTTCTACAGGTTTGAAAAGGAAGATGACTAGTGTGGTACTGCACGCGATGCTAAGGCTATCGAGTTCCTGCCTCCCTTTCTATATCCTACTCTATCGCGACCTGAATACTCTCTATGCAAGGGACACTGCCTGTAGTCCCTCAACAGATACCGACCAAGGCGATCTAAACCTATACAAACTACGTTCATGCAGCACAAATTTTTTTTCTGAAGTTAACATTATTCCTGGAATTCGAACTGCCTTGACCAAAAAAAGCACCTCTGCGCCATGGGATAGGATGTGAAAAATGCTTCCATCCATTCTTTGGAAATGCCACCCAAACACACGATATAACACATCAACTCAAATAGCAAAAGGACAATAGGAAAAGAGACACAAAAGATGTGTGTGATATCATACAAGGAAACATCTCTCGAAGCGTAGCCATCAGTTAGAAGGTGGGGTGAGGAAAGAAGAACTTTTTTCTCTTTTATAAAAAAAAACTGGGGTCGTCCCCTTTACTCGTCGCTCTTGCTCTTGCTCTTCTTCTTCTTTTTCTTGTCGCTGGTGTCGACCTCCTCGCCGTCGTCGGAGCGCTTGCGCTTCTTCTCCTCGCCCTTGGCGGCCTTCTTGGCGTCCTTCTTGGCCTTCTTGATGTCCTTCTTGCTGACGGAGCTGGGCTTGCCCTCGGCGTCGAATTGGATCTCGCCCCGCTCGAGCTTGCGCTTGTACCGCTTGACGCTCAGGCCGGCCTGCTCGGCCAGCTTCTCGAGCTCGGAGTCCTTGCTCTTCTTCTTCTTCTTGGAGGACTCCTCCTCGGAGTCTTCGTCGGAGGAGTCTCCCTCGTCGTCGGAAGCGGCATCAGCCATCTCCTCGTCCTCGACCTCCTCAACGAGCTTCTTGTCCTTCTTGCTCTTCTTGGCGGAAGCCGGGGGCTCGTCGCCGGTCAGAGCGTCAGCATCGGGGTTGTATCTCCGGGCCTCGTTGAGGTCGAACTTCTGGGGCTGAGCGGTGCCGTTGGGGGCGATAGCCACACCGCGGGGCTTGAGGGGCTTGCCCTCCATGGCGGCCAACTTGCGCTCGAGGTTGTAGCGGGCCTCGGTACCGAGGGCAGCCTTGTCCTCCTCGGTGGCATCATCATCCCACTCGGCCAGGGCATCCACACGGAGACCCAGGGAGGCCTTAGCGGCCAACACTCTGGCCATCTTACCCTTGTTCTTGCCAGTAGCCTGGCCGATCAAAGAGGCGTGGTAGATCAGACCGTACTTGGGAGTATCGTGCTTCGTCTTCAAGGCACGGAACAGGGCCTTCTCGGCACCCAGAATCTGGAGGGTAGAAGCAGGGCTCTTGGACAGGTTGGTCAAGCTACCGGCGTGGGCAATGAGACGAGCACCGACGAGGTCACCGACAAGGGCAGTCAAGTTGGGGGCAATGGCGTTCATACGGGCGGTGAGGTAGCCAGCCAGCTGCTGACGGTATTCGGCAAAGCCAACGACCTGCTCGGCCAGAGCTTGGATGTGCTCCAAGTCCTCCTGGCTGATCTCGGTACCCATGGACCGATCAGCGGCGGCCTTGACGGCACCCTCAATCTCCTCGGGGAGGATCTCGGCGAGATCGGCAGTCTCCCAGTTAGTGCGCATGCCCATCTTCAGGACGAGTCTTGCGTAGGCGATGTTGTCGTTCAAGATCTTGGCCAGCTCGGGGAAGTGCCAGCCGTACCATTCCTTAACACGCATGGCGTAGTTGTTGAGTTCCTTGTCCAGATCATCCAACAGACCGATAGCCTGCACAATCATGGTGTCGATTTTGTCGGGGGAGAACTTGAGCTTGTGACGAGCAAGAGAGTGCGACAGACCCAGGGCCATGGTAGACATATCCTGGGGAAGAAGGCCGGGAATGAGAGTGGGCAGGTGTTCACGGATGGCACGGTAGATGTCGGTGGTGGAGGAGTCGGCAACCAACTCGATGGAGAGGCCAGGAAGCTTTCCAATGGCGTTTCCTGTGATATTCCGAGTCAGTGAAATTGACATTCCCCCGGTTCGCCATCAAAGGCAAGGAAGAGCACATACCGAGCTTGGGGTCGGAAACAGCCAGAGAGACCTTCTTCTCATCCTTGACTTCGTCCAAGAGGCTGGCCAGACGGGGGGTAACCTTTCCTTCCACGAGAGCAGCAACTTCCTCCAGGGCAGTCGCGGCGCTGTCGAACTTCTGGAAGCTCTTCAATTTCAAACTAGGTTGCGCAAGTTAGATATACGGTCGGCGCACGGAGGGGAAAATTTTTTTTGCATGAGATCACTCCAAAATTGTAATTGCAGCAGTTTCATCAAATCCCAAGACAAGGTCAACTTACAGGTTAGAAACACCCTCTGCGGTAGCAGCCTCAGTGGTGAGGTCGTCTCTCTTCAGGAGCTTCTTGTCCTTGGCCTTGAGCAGGGCATAGCCCGCACTGGTCTCCGTGAGGATGAAGAGCGTCATGATGTAGGCTCTCGACGTCTAGCTGTGATAACGAAACAAACAAAACCGGCAAAAAAAAAGCACCAGCTAGAAGTGCGAGGGGCGAGGGGGGGTCGGAATTAAGAGGGAGGGGTTGGCGTAAGTTGGCGACGGGGGACGAAACCGCGTGCTGGACGAGGATTGCAATCGCTGGGAAATTTTTCGACACCAAAAAGTGAAAAAAGCGAAAACGCCGTGCGGACTGTGGCTGGTGCCCGCAGGTGGCGGTGCGAGGTGCACTAGACACACTGTCTAGCCAGCTTATGTAACCTTAGGCGACACGGGAGACCCATCCGGGCGTGGTCACGGGATTGTGGTTTACGTCGACTGAGATAGCGACAATCCATACCAGCAAGTGCTTCATTCTGCTTCATCTCTTCCCCGTTTGACGATCTAGAGGAAGCTTGAGGACTCGTACACTTCTGATCATAATGGAGGGTCTCTTCTTTAACGTCAAGAGCGGGTATGTCACTCGAAAGTCCTCTCAAACCCCCCCCCCCCAGATCTCCCCTGGCTAACTGTCCTGATCAGCTACATTGAGGGCATTGCCCGAGGATATCGGAACAGCCTTCTGACTAGCCAACACTACTCCAACTTGACTCAATGCGAATCGATCGATGGTCCGTTGCTCTCAGACTGACTCCCTCACGAGCACAATCAAAATCTCACACAGCGTCTTCTTTCTTGCCCGCAGATGTCAAGCTCCAGCTCGCCCCCGCATATGGCGACTTTCTCGCCGCTCTCCCCCCGAACCCATCGACCTCCGCCCTGGCAGGCAAGATGACCGACAAGCTGGTTGCTGAATTCCGCTATCTCCTCGCGCAGGCCACGGGGTCAACGGAAAGGTTCCTGCGGTACCTGACCTACGGGTACATGATCGACAACATCGCCCTGCTCATTACCGGTACCCTGCACGAACGAGACACCCGCGAGCTCCTCGAACGGTGCCATCCGCTAGGATGGTTCGAGACCCTGCCCGTCCTCTGTGTCGCCACCAACATCGAAGAGCTGTACAACTCCGTCTTGATCGAAACGCCCCTGGCCGGGTACTTCAAGGGGAGTCTGAGCCACCAGGATCTGGACGAGCTCAACATCGAGATCGTGCGCAACACCCTCTACAAGAACTACCTGGAGGACTTCCACCAGTTCGTCACCACCCACCCGGACTTCAAGGGCACTCCGACCCAGGAGGTCATGTCGGAGATCCTGCAGTTCGAGGCCGATCGGCGGGCGATCAATATCACACTCAACTCGTTCGGCACGGAGCTGTCGAAGCAGGAGCGGAGGAAGCTGTACCCGGAGTTCGGCAAGCTCTGGCCGGAGGGGTCGCTGATGCTCTCGCGGGCGGATGACATCGAGTCCGTCGCCCTCGCCGTGAGCATCTCCGCCGATTACAAGGCGTTCTTCGATGCGGTCGGCCTGACGCAGGGCGGCGGCGGCCTGGGTGGCATGGGCGGCGCCTCGGACGGGAAGAGCTTGGAGGATCTGTTCTACCAGAAGGAGATGGAGATGTGCAAGGTGGTGTTCACGCGACAGTTCACGCCTGCGGTGGTATATGGGTGGATGAGACTGAAGGAGCAGGTAAGACAATGACCCCACCATTCTTGCATGGACTTATTCAGCTAACCATCCTGAATCAGGAAATCCGAAACGTCACCTGGATCGCCGAGTGTATTGCGCAAAATCAGAAAGAGAGGATCGGGAACTTTATCTCTGTTTTCTAGATACCATGTTTCTTCCTTTTGCTTTTTTTTTAGCCGTCTTATTTTTTAAAGCCTCCCTATATTGATCTATCCTCTGGGTCCCTTCCCCTTTTATATCTCTCTCCCTTTCGTCCATTTCTCCCACGCCCAAACTATACTCCAGGCTCCATTCGCGATTGGTTCGTGTGTTAGTACCCTTCTATCCCATGTATCTTATGCTCGAAGTGAGGCGTCTCCTCCTTTGTCTTTGCTTTCTCTCCGCTGCTATCTCTAGTCAAACGGGCGGACTCGGTCCTATGGAGTATCTTCCAATCGTCGAATCTCTCGTCTCGTGGGGCTGCATCGCTGCACGTCTTGGCTTCGCTTTAAAGGGCGGTATGTACTTCTTTGTGACACGATCAACACTTTTTGGAGATATCATGCAGCGTGTTGCATGTCTGCGCGGTAGGTAGTTATACGCAAACAGATATACACCGATACCATGCCAGTAATGTTTCCGAGACTCATTTTTCAAGTCGTTGGAAACGGACCAACTATGAAGACCATGTAGATAAGGCCAATCATCTTCGAAAGGACAAACGTGATGATTCCCTGCTCTGGTGCAAGAGCAAAAAAAAAGAAAGAAATGAATTGATCTGATAAATTCTCGTTACTTCAGACTCTTGGCCGAAGTTCTCATGATGGTTGTTGGATATATGTTCATGTATATGGACTCACCTGCTCCCTGCACATCATACCAGGGGCGGACATATGACGGTGTAAAAACGAAAAAAAGCAAAGAAACTCCCAAGAGACACAGAAATAACCAGACAGGTTGACAAAAATGGGAGACATAATGGACACAGACGCAAGGCCATGTAGGAGGTAGCCAACACCTTGTGCCAGGGACTAGACGCATGACATGTTTTCTAGTCCGCTTCTTTCCGGCAATTGGAGTTTTCGATATATTTTTGGTAAAGAAAATGCACAGCCAGCGATGATATGCAATAGCAAGAAGTCCCCTAAGCGTTCAAAAACCAGAAGGGCACTTCAGCCGATGACAAAGCAAAATGATAGAAAAGCAATCCGTGGAAGATGACCCAAGATTTCGTCGCTCTTCATATTCTGCCAACAAGTTTATGATTTACTTTGTATGGACGTCACACACAAAAAAAAGAAAATGGAATAGATAAAACATAATAAGAGACCTGTGACGGCATATCCGTTAGTCGTACTGGAAGAGAACGCTGATACTCTCGCCGTGGTGAACGCGACGGATAGCCTGTACAACGAAATTAGTTCCTTGTACCTTAAACACCTCGAAAGGGATATTACCTCGGCGAAGACGTGGCCAACCTCCAAAACCTCCAGCTTGGGACATCTGCGCAGGTGATCCGCTTGGTCCACACTGTTGGTGACAACAACCTTGTCCAAAGCGCTAGCATTGATGCGATCAATCGCATCGCCACTCAGAATACCGTGCGTCACCAACGCATAGACTCGGGCAGCTCCTTCCCTCTTCAAAAGCTTCGCCGCTCTGGTGATGGTGTTGGAGGTGTCCGCCAGGTCATCGATCAGAATAGCGGTCCGATCCTTGACATCACCGACCAGCATCATGGTGGCATTTTGGCGATCCGTGATCCGTGTTGGGCGGCGCTCCTGCAGGAAATCAGTTAAAGTGCGACATCAGAAGACCGGAATTGGACGAACCTTGTGGATAAGGGCGAATTCAACACCCATCGAATCGGCGATCGCGGTGGCCCGCTTCGCGCCACCGGCATCAGGACTGACAATGACAGCCTGTTTGTAGTTGGGAATATTGCGCTGAATATAGCTCTTCAGCAGGGGTCGGCCATAAAGGTTGTCGACAGGGATGTCGAAAAATCCCTGGTATTGAGGGTCGTGAAGATCCATGGTGATGATGTGATCGGCACCAGCGCAAGTAAGCAAATCCGCAACCAGGGTGCCTGCCTGAGCCACCCACTGCTTGTAGCCCGGACGGGGCTGGAAGTTGTTAATCTTGTTGGCCTCCTCTTCTGCGACGCTTCCACTGTGAAGAGAGGGCAGAGAGTCCATGGTGTCACTGCGGGGCAGACCATTGACTGGACGTTGTCTCTTCACCGGGCTACCGTTGCTGATATCTTCCAATTGAGCCTTGGCCAGGCTCTTTTGAAGGTTGTCCACACCATTGAGCAGACTGCAGCTCTCGGGCTTCCCAGGGTATGGGGTAGGCGGGGTACTTTCAAAAGTGTAGCCATTGCCGGATTTGCTAGCAAGGGAAGACTTGGTCAGCGGAGCGCCCGTCTTGTTGTACGGGATATCACTCTGACGAGAGTATGGGAAGAGCGGTAGAACCGCAGTGACTCTCTTCGCCGAGGCGGTTTTGCAGGCCGAGATGGTGATGAGCAGTTCCATCAAGAGATCATTGACCTTTCCGCCGCCGGATTGGATGATGTAGACATCCTTGCCACGGACGGATTCTTTGATCTCGACTCGGGTCTCACCGACGGAGAATTTCGACAGGAGGACGTCTGCCGCAGGGATACCCAGGACGTTGCAAATGTTTTGGGTCAGCTGAGGGTGGGAGGTCCCCCCAATGACGACAATGTTGCGCACCATATTGTTCTGAGGAGTCGACTGAGCAGCGTCAGGAAATCCGGTGGGTTGCAAGATCACAGGCGAGGATGACCAAATCGTTTGCGGAGGGGGAGGGGAGATATCCGATGAGTCGGCGGGTCTGGAGGGGCGGGACGAAGGGTGAGATTAGCACGACCAAAGAGAGGAGAGCGCTGGCTTGGAGCAGCAGGGAGAAGAACAAAAGATCTCGAGGATGGAAGTGGACAAGCAACTACCTCATGGCGGGGAATCAGGGACAGGGATGGGTTCCAAGCGAATGGATGGAGAAGGAAAAACAGACATCGAGATCAGAAGGAGGGAGGAGAGAATAGGAAGAGATTCGTGGAGAATCGGCCATAGAGACGAGGAAAAAAAAAATGCCTCTGCCGCGAGTGGAACCCGGCCGTCGATTCAGGCTGCAGGCGGGGGGCAGCCTCAGGCTGCAGATTTCCTTCTTCCGGCTAGTCCCGCCCTACCAGCACGGGCGAATCCAACGGCCCCGCAGTGATGACTCATCACTCCCGGGCCTGTGACCCCGGAATCGGACTGGAGGCGGACCTCTGAGGTCGCTGATGCCTTAGTGCCTGAATAGCATAGGCACCTATTATCAAACACACGGGTATCAGTGATCGCAGCTGGAATCCTCACAGCACTGCTGCATAAACAATGCACAGCACAAGCACTCTCAATCTCCAGCAGCATTCCCCTAAACCTGAGTCTAGGTATCTGGGATTCAATCGGCCCACCCATTTCGCTTGCAAGCTATCACGCCAGGCCTTGATCACAATCATACATGGAAGGAATCGCAGCACATGGGAGCGTCATATGACGGGACAACACATGTAATGCTTGGTTCTCCTGTGACAATCTGGTCAGCATCAGCTCAAAGGTAATTTCGAAGAATATTCACCAAAGTAATACGTGGACAAACAGGTACACTTGGATTGGAAACACAGAACGGGGACTTGCTCAAAGGTTACAACAAGCAAGTCTCACGCGTGAGACGCTGACAGCAAGATCCATCATTGCCCTTCCATTCCCACTCCGGAAAGAGCTTTCGCGCTGCAACACATTCTTAGAAATGCCTCCAAGCTTGTCTGGCAGTTTCCGGGACACGCTTTCACCTTCATGGTTCATCTCGGAAGGCTGGCAGGGAATAAAATCCATGGGCTGGAGAGAAGTAAAGAGCTCTTCGATTTATCGTTTTGTTTCAAGTACTCCATACAAGTTTGAGTTATCATGAAGATATCAATATCTCATTTCTATCTCAAATCCATTCATTCTTGTTATGCGTCCGGGGAGTCCTTAGTTGCTTGGGAGCTTGCTGGTTTTTGTGCTCTGTCCTGCCCCAGCGTCTATTAAGGCCGCCTGACTGGCATGAGCCTCTTACGACCCATACCCCTCTCCAGCTTCTTAAAATGCTTCTCAGCTCACTGATAAGGCCACAAGGTTGGGCAATCAGTGAGACAAGTGGTTGGTCTAGACCGGGCATTGGCAGGTGCGACACGATGCACGTGATGCGGTACGACACAAGAGAGCTCATTTAGCCGTCCAGGGACTAGATCACCTACTACTGCTACTAGGTCTGCTTCTCCCCTCGAACGAGATCAATATGAGAATTTTCAAATTAATTCAAACTCGGCATCTATAAACATACGGGGCTTGCACCTCACTCCAGAATCACCAAACCGTGACCTGTTGGCACTAGTCAATCGCATTGTTTTCCCTCCATGCCAGGCCGCCTCATCCTACGGCGCCCGTCCCCGACGACCGTCTCGTTCACCGTTTCGAATGCCTCAAGACATACCAGCACGCCTGCAAAAGCTCTATTCTACCTGCAAATTTTGCTGCGGGTGCTGAGCTTCTTCTGCGTGCTCTTACTTGATGTCGCCAAACTCCGACACTCTTCCTACATCCAAGAAGCGCGATTGATCCCCTGGGCAGCTGTATGGTCGACACCGCTGGGCGCCTCGGTTTGTGGCTACGCGGATAGGTACAGCTACCCAGTTGTAGGACTGGTCAGTGCAATTGTGATGTATGGTGTCTTTAGAAAAGGATACACAGGTTCGTTCGATGTGTGCGACTGTTGTTTGACTCATCCAGCGCGGTGCTAACTTCCATTGCTACGGTACAGAAGAGTCGCTCCTCGTTATACGGGGGCTGGGCATCCAGACTTCGACATCCTCCAACACGTACTTATCAAAAGCGTCTACGCGATTCATACCTACCACACAGATCCAGGATATTGTGATCCATGAGGCTTTTAAGGGATTCGAGGTTCGCTTCTATCTCGCTGTAATCGTCGAAGGGGAGACGGAAGTCCTCGTGGTTTTCCCTGTGAGTTTGAATTGGAAGCACATGTGTGTTTGGCATCGTTTAACTGATAGCGGATAGAATCTCCTTCCGAATCGACATATTCTAGAAGAGGTCTGGAGAGGTTCCCGACGATGTCTGTATGATACCAAGTCATAGCGTGATTTAAGCGGAGAATGTGAACATCATGGGTCTCAGAAAAAAAGACTTCTGTGAGGAGCAAGCGCGAGACTTCGAGCGTCGCTAAACGCATGAATATAATATGCCAGGGTAAGTACAGAAACTAATCTTATCTACATCTCCATCTTGGACGCCTTCGCACCAGCCTCCGTTTTTCGTTGTTTGGTAGCCAACCACCGCGCATTCTGGACCTCAACGAGCTCCGTCTTGCGTTTGTGCATGACTGGAATATAATCACCGCCTGTTCTGGAATCGTTGCCACCAATGAACACTTTTTGTCCTCTGTTCTTCCGCTCCCAGACCGGGTTTGCTCCTCCGGTAGCGATCATGGTTTGATCTCTTTGACTAACAGCCAGGTCGAGCAGTGTGCCGGCTAGGATCTCATCAATCTTACGCTGTCTCCAAACAGCCCAGAGCTCCTCGACAATTCCACCGAGACCAAACTTGCCGCCGCCTTTGCCGAGATGGGATTTGATCTGCCTGATATCGCCTGCATAAACCCACTCCATCGCATCCTTGCGGCTACCGCTCTGCTCGTCAGGGTAGACACAATCCCAAAGGACAAGAGGGGCGTCAGACGCCATCTCATAAGTGGGCTTGCGCGGGTTTTTGGATGCATCTAGCAGGTCACGCACAATGGTTGGGGGTTCGAGGCCCTGGCCAACAAGGAACAAGACACTGACCATGTGACGAACCTGATGCCATAGGAATGCGGATCCTTCTAGATGAAAGACATACACCTTGGCAGCAGTAGGTGTAGGCTCAACGGATGATTCGGTTTCTTGCTCGCCCTCAACGGCGCGAAACTCTGGCTCGTTGACGTAACCCAGCGGGGTGTTTTTGGCATCGATCAATTCAATATCAGCGCGGAAGATCTCACGGGAGAAATTTTCAATCTGTTTGGTAACATCCAGCTTGCAGAAATTGCGGAAGTCGTGTGTGCCTTCGAAGTATTTGGCGGCTTCGCGCATCGCCTCAATGTCCAACCAACCCTCTCTGTACTTCGGACGGGCGTTCGTTCCGTCATTCGCACGGGGCATTAATCCGAGAGGCCCAGGGGTTGGAGAGAAGGCAGGCTGAGTGAAAAAGTACTTGTAGTGTCGTTCTCGGCAGGAGAAACGAGCATCGAACCCTTCAGGAGGGTTGGGGCACCACGCCAGGACCCTGATATCCTGCGGAAGGACCTTATTCAACATGCTCACATAAGGATGTTCATCCTTGATATGATCCCAACCGTCATCCGCCTCCTCCGTGTTTTCCATAGCCGTGTCCGGGTTCTGCGCATCCGTCTTGCGCATTGGTCGCGTGCTGCGGACCCTGATACTAACGACCTGCCCAAAAGCGCTCACACCGCGGTCCGTGCGGCCAGCCTTGGAGTACTGGCATCCGTCCCAGTTGATCCAGTAGGGCTTGACCTCACGCGGCGCGTAGTTGTCGACAAAGTCATCCCCAGAAGTATCGGTCGGAAAGATCAGACGTGTCTTGCGCAGTGCCTTATAAAGTTCCTCTTCAATGGTCGGCAACGGTGTGGCATTGCCGTTCGCGTGTTCCAATCCGTTATACCGCTGTCCCAGGTAGGCAAACTTCAGCGCGATGTAGCGCGTGTTATACTTCGAGGGATCGATCTCCCGGCGCACTTTCGCGGACTTAGGCTTCCGTGGCTGTAATTCCTGCTTGACTGTCGAAGAAGAGGGCAATTCGGCAGGCTTTTTCTCGGTAAGTTTGTCGTTCTGCTGCTGAAGAATGCTTGTAGTGCTCTGCGTCGTGGGGGCAGGCGATGCGGCGTACTCCGCTGTCCGGGAGTGGAGTTGGCGCTCAAGTTCGGTGATGCGAGCAATCAGACTGGAGGTAGGCCATGTCGAGTAGTCCGGTTCGTTATCGGAGGAGCCAGGCGCTGGCTGGGTTGGCGTCTGCGCGGGCTGCTGCTGCTGCTGCTGCTGCTTCTGTTCCGACATGGTTTGCAGCGGCGGGGAGGAATTAACCTGGGCGAGGGAACGAGCGAAACAGTGGAAAGATGCGGCGGCTGTTGGACAGGATCTGTATATAGTGGACTCTTGAGCGCGAGCCAAGAAGATGCGAAAACTTCCTTGGAGACTTCGCATACCCGTGAGGAAAAGAATGTTGGGTGGACTCGAGAGCCTCGCGGAGGTGGCAGCGGAAATTGTTTTCTTTGGGTCTGCGAAGCAAAATTTTGGAGTCGCTGATCCAGGTGACTTACGGAGTGTATTGCTCGTGTAACCCTGGTATTATTACGCCCGCTGAGATTGGAATATATGGTCGTCAAGCTGTGGCTCGAATATATTCGAAAGGATCATATTTCTTGGGTTTATCATGCTACCTTTTATAGTAGAAACGCATACTACTAAAATCTCTGGACAGTAATTCCTGTTGGTTGCCCAGCGAAGATCTACCGTGGGAAGTATCAAGCAACGACTGGTTTGAAGGCGGACGGCGTGACATATTACGGATCTTATCGCATCTCGCACACTACTGTATCTTGACTATCTCGATAACCACCACAGGCAATAGCCCTGTAGAATTACCGAGAGATGTTCAACTGTGGGTGACAATTTATTGCGCTTTACAAGCAACAGAATCTTTCGATATATCACAAACACCCGTAGCGTTCCAATCGGAATGGCGGACTCCTACCTCCGAGAAGACAACCCGACGGTTACAATCTTACTCCTAGGAGACTCAGGTTGTGGCAAGTCGACCTTTCTATCGTGAGTAGATTCTGTTCTTTGACAATTCATCATATGCAATAATCGGCAATTGGAATCATTATTATCTTCACTATTCCCTTCCTCGCCCTATAAAAATTGGATCAGTCCGCTAATGCCACCCCAGAAGCCTGAAATCCAACCATCGCCGACTTCAAGGACAAAGAGGCGACGACGTCCCATTACGGGATAGCGACCAACCCTTTCTCTATGACATTCGCTTCTCCAAGAAGTCATTCACTCTCGAAATCTTCGATACCGCCAGCCCCAATCAGCACTGGTCGACTCTCCGGCCGGATGTGGTGCTTCTGGCGTTCGATATCTCCAATCGCGAGACTCTGGACGGGTTGAGAGGGGTAAGTGGACTTGAAGCCCAGGGACCATTGTTCATATCGAAGGCCTCCTTGACCCCTTCGTCATGGCTTGTCCATTCTGACACATGTTTCCCAGTGGCGACACGATATCATCCGGTACTTCCAACACGGCTACGGGGAGCGCATCCCCATCATGGTGGTGGGATTGAAACGAGATCTCCGAGTCGAGGGAGAGGGAATCATCTACCCACAGGAGGTGAGTTTGGTCCTGAATGAGTTGTTGTTTCCTTGTTTGCAGAATGTAATGGAAGCTGATTTGTTTTATAGTCATACCGCATCGCCCAGGAACTTCGATGCGATCGGTATGCGGAATGTTCCGCCGCTACGGGTGAGTTGATGGCGGAGACCTTTGAGGATATTGCGCGTATGGCAGGGATGACTTTGACGGCTGCGGGCGGGCAGAGTAGAGGCGGTTGCGTTGTATGTTGATTGTTTTTTTTGTTTGTGATACCCTTCTATTTCATTACTTTATCATTCATAGGTGTTTTGGTCGGACATTTTTTTGATGCCTGGAGTCTTGTAACCTTGGAAGTCGAGGTAGGCGGATGGACTGAGGTGTAAAGCACATGGCAGATGGCTCTAATAAGGGGGGGGGGTCGGGGTCCGGATATACCGTACTACACGTAGATTGATGATACCGCATATCGAAAACGGCTTCGACCCATCAATTGCCGTTACGCATCTCTACTCTACTATCTCCAATGCTACGAAGAAGGTGGAAAGACATGGTAGCTGGCATCACTTTTCAATTACGCTATGATAAACATGCAGGGAGAAACCAAGGTAACGCTTAAGTCCACCTTGTAAATTGACAGCACAGGGCTTTCCCCCAGAAGCTCACCGAGGCAAGAGAACAACTGGATATCTTTCCCTCATAAGCGCCAAGTCAACTGTTTAACGTTGCAATTCCTCCCCGATGCAAACCATAAACGAAACATCAAATATCGGATGGGCGGGAAAATGGTTTTCACCGTAGCATACCACGTCAGAAAGGAAAAGAGTAGGAAAAGGGGTTGTTTTGAAGTAGTGGATCTCCCGTTGATTGTGTGTGTTTTTTCCTCAATTTTTCTTCCTTTGCTTTTTGGTTTCTTTTGGTAACTTGCTGAACAGAGACTAGGATAGACATGACAAAGGGATTGCTTTTCCTCTTTTGTGGTTGGAAGGGTGTGCGCGAGTGTCGCTCCGATTTGCGCAAAGGGAGTGCACTGAAAGCTCCCCAACCAATCGCCCAAGATGCTTCATGGAAAAGAAGATGTGAATCAAGATCCCTTCTCAACGACCGTCCGCGTCACCGGATTCAAACATTTACCAGTTGCCCTCAGCAGGCTTGGTCTCAGCCCAGCTCTCGCCAGCAGGAGCGGCAGAGCTGGCAGCCCAGTCGGCACCGTCAGCCTCCCAGCTGGTACCAGCAGCAGCGGTAGCAGCGGAGAAAGCAGTGCCAGGAGCACCAGCACCAGCACCGGCGGTGTCCCAGTTGTCACCAGCGTAGCCGGACTCGATGGCAGCGGGGCCAACCTCCTCGGCGGAGGCAACCTTGGTCTCGTCGGCGATCTCCTTGTTCTCCTCAGCCTCGGGATCACGGTAGAAGTACAGGTCGACAACGACGTCCCAGTCAACCTCGCGGGAGGCAATGGTACCACGGAGGCGGAGGACCTCACGGGCGAGCATCCACCAGACGAGACCGATGGCGTGGCGACCCTTGTTGTTGGTGGGGATGGCAACGTCAACGAAGTCGGTGGGGGAGTCAGTGTCGCAGAGGGCGATGACGGGGATGTTGACGTAGCTGGCCTCCTTGATGGCCTGAGCATCGGTGCGGGGGTCGGTGACGATGATGAGGCGGGGCTCCTTGAAAGAGCGGGTGATGTAGTTGGTGAAGTTACCGGGGGTGAAGCGACCGGCGATGGCGGTGGCACCGGTGTGGGAAGCGAACTTCAGGACAGCACGCTGACCGTAGGGACGAGCGGAGATAACACAGACATCGGCCGGGTTGTCGATGGCAGCGATGATACGGGCGGCCAGGACGATCTTCTCCCTATAACAATCGCGCGTGCGCGCGCAAGTTAGATTCTGGCCCAATTTATCTCGTGTTGCATTGCCATTCGCGTCTCCTCCAATTGCGCGTTGCGATTTTCCTTCTCCTAGTAGTAAACGTACCAGGTCTTGCCAATGTTGATAACGTTGACACCGTCGGGGCGAGTCTTCCAGAGGTAAGGCTCCATGTGGGACTGGAGGTTCTTGGATCCCAGGTGGCACTGGGCAGCCAGGAGCTGCTCAATGTCCTGGGAGGTAGGGTTGAAGATCGGGGGGAGCTGGGAGGGGGCCATGGTGGACGATTGACTCTGCAAAGGAGATCGAATTGAGGATATCAATCGACTGGCGCTTGTCGCGGTGGTGATGACGGGAGGAGAGACGGAACGCGAAGCTGAACTTTTCCACGCCGCGCTGAGATGGTGATGAATTTCGCTTGCCGTTTGTGAATTCTAGGGCTAGGGTTAGCCAAGACCGGGAGTCCCCGGACCGTCCCCTGATATCACGTGAGTCTACCTACCCAAACCGAGACTAGCGTCCTTTGCCCGGTCTTCGAGATTTCGGAGAAAGTTCAGCGCGCCTGTGCTGGTTGACGGGCCTTAGATGCGAAGAAGCTCCGGTTTGTTCTACGACCATTGCCAGTGCTCGCCGTCTCAGGCTTCCAACCATGTCTCCTCGCTTGCTTCTTCAGTCCTCCCTCAGGGCTTTCACTGGTATGTCTTCACTCCTCCTTCACCACTTCCGCCTTGGTCGGTCGCCAATTCCTCTCTAACTTGTGTGCTGTTGATACCAGGCTCTTCCTCCATTCAGAGTCCGCTCGCCGCCCTATCCCTCACCCCTTCCAAGACCACAATCAGAGCCGGTTCTGCAGAGGCAAGAGAACGTCGCAGACATGACCCATTCTTGACCGCTCAGTCGCGCCAGCGCAAGGCAGCCAACCTCTCTCGCCGACAAGCTCTCGCCCAGGAACGTGAACAAGCTTTGGGAGACCCCGTCAAAAGCGCACCTACCCCCTTCATCCAAGAATTGCAGGAGACCCAGACGCGCTCCGAGAATGCCCCCCCCAACTTCTTCGTGAAACCGGCCGAACTACAGAGTGCTCTCGACCATTCGAAGGATTTGACTTCTCCTCTCGTGAACCCGGACCGCGATACCGCCGACCCTCAGCTTGAGATGGAGCAAGCTGAGCAACACAATAAGCAGCACCAGAATGCATTGGAAGCCATGAATCGTATCTTGAAACTTGATAACGGAAACAATCAAGATCGCATGCGCCTTAACATCCAGAAATGTATCGAGACCTTTGGTCGGCACAACACGGACCAGACATTGCCCCCCAAACCAGCTAGCGTGTCCCTCGACTCTGCAACTGCTCCTCCCGAAAAGCTTCCCCGGATCGGGGCTGATACTGGCTCCCCAGAAGTGCAGGTGGCTATCTTGACCGCCAAGATCATCAATCTGTCCAGACATCTTGAGACGACCAACAAGGACAAGCACAACAAACGCAACCTGCGTCTCCTCGTGCACAAGCGGCAGAAGCTTCTCCGCTATCTGCGACGAAAGGAGCGTGGAGGTCCCAGATGGCAGAACCTGGTTCAGACTCTCGGCCTCTCCGACGCTGCTTGGCAGGGTGAGATCAGCATGTAATCGGGACTCTGCCGGCGTTTGTATTCTATAATTTCTTTTGACCATCCTCTTCCCAACCTATCCCTTTGGCGTATATCAACCTCATGATTTTGTCTCTGAAACCGTTCCTCTCTCACACCAACCTGGCGATTATGGCAGGGAGCCGGCGAAACTGTTTTCATCTAGTGCCACCTCACTCCAGCGATTTCTGGTCGTTCCAAGATCATCGCTGTGTACTGTACAAATATTGCTATCGTTTTCCACGACTTAGAATTAACTTGCATGGAATGCGACTTCTCATTGCCTCTGCTCTCTAAACAATGAGTCCGCGACTTGTAGTACGAACTGGTGTAACTGACTAGACACATTTCTTTACTGCGCTAAGCCACTCCACAGCCTGCATTCCTTATAATTCATGTACAAGTCTTTCAGATCAGGGTATAGTATGACCCTTTCATGCCTGATGTCTTCATAACGATATTACTGAGTAATCTGGACTGATTGGGAATCCGCGGCGACATTGGGGTTGCCGACGGCGCCACCGCCTTATCAATTCTGCCGGGACGTCACTCCCTCGAGCCGCAAATTTCCCGCGCGGTCGAGTGAATATTCACTTCACTGCCATCTTCTCATCCATCACCAGATGCTATAGCTTTGCTTGCTCCGGTAGTGAATGTTGCCAGCTGCCCCGCGGGTCCACGGCCCACACGCGCCATAAAACTATAACAACAGAATAATAACACAACCCACCCACCCAGTGAGTTTTGTTTTCTTTCCTTCCTCTCATGCTCTTCCCTTCTCACCCTCTCTACCACATCCTCGCTCTCCTCTCTACTTGTTTCGCACTTCGCAAAAGTGTTAATATACACACAAACAATTGCTCTTTTGCGCTTGAAACATAGCCCTCCTTTTTCTTTGTCTGTTCTCACCTGTGCTTGACTTCCTGCCTCGCAGTGTTAGCAGAGTCGGAATCCCGTCGCGCTTTCCCTTCGCTCTTTCTCTCTCTGCCCATCCTACACTCCACCCTCTCTTCCTGTCACCTCTACCCTCATCACTTCTTTGTGCCTGAAGACTCGAGCTTTATTCGACCTAGGCCTTGTTTTCCTGCCCCGACAACCTGTACTCTCCATCACTTCGCAATCACCATCATCTCTCTTCACGTGTGTTGATAATTCTCCCCTGTCGAACCCCTGCTGTGCTTGCTTCAGCTTGGGGTTCATATTTGACGCCACGAGACGGGCTCTCAACGCTGAAGCTGATTTGCAACTTGGGTCATTGTCTTGTTCTCTGTGCGCGCGAGAATCGCAACCCTGCCTATTTCGAATCCGCTATCCCCCATCTCTTTTCTTACCGTCGACCTGCGCTTCAGCTACCTCTTACTTTGGAAGATTTGCAAGGTCTTCTCGCATATTAAATTTATCAAGGGTGCTCACGTTAGTGCCGCGTCAACTTGAACACTTACCAATTATTGTTCACTTTCTCGAACAGTCAAAATGCGTACTCGCTCGCAGATGATGTCGCCTGGTGGCTTCGTCTCCCTAGATGACCACAATGTTGCTCGCCCCACTAGGTCAACCAGGAGCAACTCGCAGCAGTCCGCCGCCGCTGAAGAACAGCCCGCCCCTCGCCCGAAGGCCACGCGCGCCAAGAAAGCGTCTTCCACAACCACAAAAAAGGCTCGCAAGAAGAAGGCCTCTACAAAGAAGCGCACAACGCGCCAAACTACTCTCAAAAGTGGTCGATCCGATTCCGAGGAGACCGAACAGCACCAGACCGAAGAGAACGAGAACGCTGAACCCACCGCATCACAAGCGGAACCATCTCCACCGAAGAACGGTAGCACCGAAGTGGGCCAGAACTCTAACCCTGCAGATAGTGAGTCCCTTCCCAACAACACACAAAGCCCCCCGGCAAGAGAATTACCACAGACCTCCCGGGGACCAAGTGCTGCCTCGGAGGCCTCAACTAGCCCGGACCCGCATCTCTTTGAGAGGTCGCGGACCATGTCCGCCGGCTTCGGGTCTTCTGAGGCAGTCACGGTCCCTGGTGACCTGCCGGAGGAACCAGCTGCGATGGTGCCAATGGACCTCCAATCAGACGAGGTACCATCGGTGCCGTTTGTGGGCTCCCTGGGGGGAGCGGAGGGAGAGATCGAGATGCGTGGTACAGGTTCTGTATCATTCGCAAAACTCGAACTCGAACCTCTTCCTCCCGCAGGTAGTACCTTTCCTCCGGTCGGGGCCGGTCCACGTTCAATGAATCAGCGTAGGGCTGTGGACGTGCTTTCACCCGTGCCCGAGCACCTCGGGTTGGGTGAGAGCAACGGTCTCGCCACAGGTTCCCTTCAACAGGGGCCTGTTGGTTGCTCCGGCGGGTCTGGGGCATGGCACATACTCTTTCAAGAGAGCGGCGCTAATGTACAGCACAGACAAGAAGCGTCGTCGCCCAACCAATGAAGACGACAACGACAGAAACGACGGGGAGCCAACCACCCCCGCTGCGAATAAGCGGCGCAACCTTGGCATTCCCGGAAGTACTCCCTTCTCTCACGCCAGTCCGTTGCCTCGCCGTGTCACCGCCAACATCACCCCATTCTCGGAGAGACTTCGCCGCCGCAACGCCGAGTCGCATGGCCGCATTTACAGGACCAGCCTTCGCATCTCGCAATACCTTGCCCAGGAGGACGCTGACCGTCTCGCTTCTGAAAAAACCCCAGTTCCAGGAGAAGATATCTCGATTACTGAACCTTTCCCAAGCTTTGAGGATAACGAACTGCTCCAGGAAGGAGAGGCACAGGAACCGGAAACGGAATCGGAACCGACACAGCAACCTAGCACTCCGGACCGGCCTGCGAGTAGCTGGAGAATCCGCGGGCTACTGAATTCTGTCCCTCGCAGACTTTCTCGTCTCATTCCTACTTTTGGACGAACTCCCGAAAGAAATGAGATTCAAGGTATGCCTTCTTCATGGCTTGGTATTGTTTATTCCGCTTATGCTTGTTAGTGACGGCAGAACCAACAACCGAACCGCTCAACCGTACACAGCCTAGAGCCATCGTTCCTTCGAATAGAACAGTGTCTCCTACTCCCAAGACCAAGGGACCGACCCAACAGCCGCAGCGTGATCTCTCCTTTTCCCTGTTCCCTGCTACTATTGACAGGTCTCGCTACCTTGATGATAAACCTAAAGCCACCCCCAAGTCTGTCCAACAGACCACTGCCGAGGCTCCATCCAAAGCTCCCGAGTCTTCGGCCGATACAGCGAACCCCAAGGATTCTGTTGAATCCACCGCCGATGCCAGCATAACTCGAGGCCGCAGCCCTGCCCAAGGGGAGTCTAGCATCTCCACTCCAAGCCAGAAGAAGCGCAAGCGGGCCCCTTCCCCTGATGTGATCCCTAACCCGCCTGGATGCAGCTATGGAATGTACGAGGACTACTTCGTTATCTCTGACGATGAAGAAGACGAGGAGCCTGCACCCCCACAGACCGAACCCAAGAAACAAGACGTGAAAGGAAAGTCCGCCATTCGCAGTGTTCTCCGGTCCGAGCGTCCAGCTTCGAAGAAAGTTCGATTCGATGCGAGTCCCCAGGATACCCCATCCAAGCTTAGAATGAAGCCCCGTGCTACCGATCCGTATACTGGACAGCATTTCATCGGCATGGATCTGACTGGCGAATCGAGTAACTCATCCTCACCTCTGCCTCCGACCCACGCTTCACAGGCCGAACAGTCCACTGTTTACCCGGATCCGCGCAGTCGCCCAAGCTTCGTTCCCAATCGTGAAGGTACTTTTGAAACCCCCTATTCCGATACTTCTTCCGATGTCTCGGAAGAAGATACCCCAGCTCCTGGCTTTGTTCCCAATCGGGATGGTACTTTCGAGACTCCTTATTCTGACACCTCCTCGGAAGCTTCGGACGACGAGGCTACACCAGGTTTCGTTCCCAACCGCGCCGGTACATTCGAAACTCCCTATTCGGACCCCCCGTCGGAACCCAGTGCTTCTACCCCTGAATCTGTTCCCGATTCACAGACCATTTCGCCAATCGAAGCTCCTTCGCAGCATCACATTACCGAGAGGTACGTTCTTCATCTTTTCTTCATGAGCCCAGGCAAGGCACCGGCCTGCTAACCAATCTTCCATCTAGCACATCATCCGAAGAGACTCGCGCAACTCCGCAGCAGGCGCTTGTCCCTCCTACTACCCCAGCCAAGGTTGAAGATGATGCTCTTGCTCGAGTCCGCTCGCAAGCAGAGAAATACAAACCGAAGACGCCCAGTGGACTCCGCACTGCAAGCCGCTATTCGAGCCCTTTGACTCTTGCTACTACTCCTGACACAGTCTCCGTACCTATTGCTACTCCCAGCACAGTCCCCGTACCTGCCGCTAGTCCCGAGCGTGCATCCAGCCCCGAGGACTTTGGTGACGACCAATTTGCTCGCGATGCCCAGTGGCTCTATGAGAATTGCCCAACTGGAGACCTCTCCGAGCTTGTCTGGCCGGAAGCCGAGAATTATGAAGATATGGGCTTCAGTGCCGAGGCAGTTCGCATCGCCAACGAAATGTGGGATTCTTCAGTGGTCGACCACGCTTACGATAATATCTGGACGCCCGGCTTGGAAGCGTTCAGGCGCGAAATGGAGACTGGCTTTTCGCACGCCGCACTCGCATAAAACCTTCCCTAATAAATGATAATACTGAATCCGGTCGAAAGTTGTTCAGGGTATGGGATGTCGTTAGCTCTTCTTAATCACTCAGTCCACCATATTCGCCTTTACACCAAATCGTGGTCTTCCCGTCCAGTCGAAAATTGTTCAGGTTTTGGATTGTCGTTTGCTCTCTATCGCTCAGATCACCACATTCTTCCTCGCACCCAAACTCGTGGTCTGCTCATCTGGTCGAATGTTGTTCAGGTTTTGATTGTGGTCTCCTTATCATGGGTTCGGCCCATGGACTCGTCTTCTACGCCCCAAGATCGTGGTCGGCTCAAAATGGTTGTATGATGTTCAGGCGCAAGGTTGCTTAGTTCTTTTTTTATGATGCAAGTCATTGAATCCGTCTGCGCAGAATTGTGGCTAGCTTGATCTCGCCGAAGGTTGTTACAGGTTTTATATTACTGTTGTTCACTCCCGATGACGCAGGTTGTTGCAGACAATTCATCGTGGATTGTGGTCAAGCAAAGCGCTTAAAGGTTGCTTATGCTATGAGGTTTTGTCCTATCTGTGGTAGGAGCTGTTTTAGAAAGGTCTTGGGATACCATCACTGTTTTTGTTTTGTTTGGTTTGCGAAGCATTCCCGGTGTTGTCTGTATTAAGAATTGCTTTGCATGTATCAAGTGGCACTCTAGCGTCTTTATCATCCACACAGACAATCGATGTACAGTTCATAACCTTGTGATCAATTCATTTCCATGGGAGAAAATCTGAGTAGTCCATGAGAGTCGTTGTCTGCCTTCGATAGGCGAAGGGTAACTACTGCAGGGTTAAGTGATATGCGGGAAAGAGGATCATCTATTGGGCATCAGATTCTATAGACGTAGTAGACATGGTATCAAAATTATATAACGGTAGGAAGAAACCAGGTTACATGATGTCAGTTCAATCGAAACCTTCGAACTCGTCATCCTCCGCATTAGCATCACCCTTGCCCTCGGCCGCCTTAGCTGCGCGCCGCAGTCGACGTTCCTCTTCATTCTTGAGACGGAGTTGCTCCACCATCTGCTCTGTCTCGCGCGCCTTCTGCCGCTCTTCTTCAGTCATCTTCTCCCACCGGGTATGCTGGGCCCGTGCCTGCTTCACCTCTCTGCGCTTCTGCTTCTTGTTCCGCGTCTCGAGGTTCTTGCTCCAGGCGGAGGCGCTTTCGGTCGCCCGTCGCTTGTTGGAGGATTCGTCGCCCTCGTTAGCCGCCGCAGCTGCCGCCTGCTCGGCCCTCTCCTGCATTTCTTCCTTGCGGCGCTTCTCCCGCTGTTTATCCTTGTAGGTGAAGTTGTCCCAGTCCAGCGTGACGCCCAGTGTCCGGTCGCCCGTGAAGGACCGCAGCTCCGGCATCTTGGGCAACTTCAGCAGGGCCCACGCCTTGCCCAGCGCCTCCCAGTCGACGTCGGCGACGCGGAAGATGCTGCTGGCCTGATGCTTGCTGTAGCTTCGGAGCCAGCTGACGAATGCCTTCTGGCCCCGGTCATGCAGGGCCCGGTCGGCCAGCACGGCCTTGCGCGCCCGCTTGGTCGCGGCGGCGGCGTCGGCGTCGGAGACGGTGAGGGGCTTTGGGTACGGGACGACCGGCGTCTTGCGGACGTCGAGGAAGGAGACGTAGTCCTCCTCGCGGCCCGGGTGGAGCAGGACCACGCTCAGACCCTTCCGCCCCGCGCGGCCGGCGCGGCCACAGCGGTGGATGAAGGTCTTCGGATCGGAGGGCGGGTCGATCTGGACGACGAGGTCGACCGAGGGGATGTCCAGTCCTCGGGAGGCGACGTCGGTGGTGAGCAGGATGGCGGGCGTGTGGCAGTTGAGGAAGCGGGTGAAGTTCTTCTCGCGGACGTTGGCTTGGTGTTTGCCGTGCAGCGGGATCAGCTGGAAATCATCGCCCAAGATCAGAGGGAGAATGCCTGCGAGGTAGTCGACTCCCGAGCAGGTGGAAACGAAGAAGATGGTTTTCTGGGGGGTGGGTTCGACGGAGCGGAGGAGGGCGGGCAAGGTCGCAAATTTGTGTAAGGGAGGGGTGGTGAGGTAGGTCATTTGTAGACTGGTTGCATCATGTTTAGCATGTTAGCGGTACTGGGAGACAGTGATTGATCTAGAAAACTGACCTGGCCGGTGTTCGCTTATCCTGGGCTCCTGACGTGCCCTTGACTTTGACCATGACCTTGACCGGGTTGCGTAGACCGACTCGCACGATCTGGTCGACTGCCTCGCTGATACTGGCACTGAAAAGACCGGTGCGCCGTTGCTTGGGCAGTCGGCGCAGGATGTTCTGCAGTGTGTCCTTGAATCCCAAATCCAACAGTCGGTCGGCCTCGTCCATGACGAGCATTTCGAACGATGACTGCGGGCAATGTACGTGCGGAGAGGAGAGGAGCTCCAGTAACCGTCCTGGCGTCGAGACCAACACATTTGGGGACCGCTTCAAGAAGGTGCTCAAGTCCTCCGCGGGGGTCGTTGAACCGCCCAGGAGAAGCTGCGGCACAACCTTAAGGGCGGAGGAGAGGTGTTTGGGACGAGGCGCATCGGCGTCTTCGGCGGGGTTGAGCACGGAGGCAGATGGAGGGTGGAAAGCAAGCAACGAGGTCAGGACATTGTAGATCTGAGTGGCAAGTTCTCTGAAATAGATAATTAGCCCATGGCCGCAATCCTGTCCTGACTGAGATGGGACCTACCGTGTGGGAGAGATAATGATTGCGCCGACATGGTGCTTCTTGAGAGGCTCCTCCAATCGTAAAAGCTTCTCGACAACGGGGATCAGGAAAGACAAGGTCTTGCCACTGCCAGTGACTGCCTCCACCACCACATCCTTATGCGCCATGAATAGAGGAATGGCCGACGCCTGAACGGGGGTCATGCGCGTGAAGCCCATGGAGGAGACGGCGTCGAGCACCCATTCCGAGAGAGGGGGTGTCACTCCATCCCACGCTCTGGCAGATGTGCCAGGAGGAGGTTTAGGGGCCATGTTGAGTCCGCTGCTTGACGCTCAAATCTCGCCAAAGTAATTTGATAATTGATTGGACACCTCACACCGTTATCGATCTTTTCTTTTCTTCAGATTCAATCCTCCAGTTTTTTTCCCCTTATCGATTAGATACCGGAGGCGGTGGGGGGTTTCTGCCGTAAATACACGTGACCGCCTGCGGATTCGGCGGAAGCCAATCGGTTTCCAGGCTGAAATCGAAGCTGAACGAAAGTCTGGATATCTCCCACCTTAACTCATCCTCGATCCTAGTTGCTCTCCTTTCGGTGCAGTGAATTTCTCCTAAACCCTTACTGTACTGATCTTGTCTCCCGCGTGCTATGTCGATCCTTTGCTGAGCGTGAAACGTCATGCGCAACGGGGTGTCTGCCTGGTACTGTACATACGCCTGCAATCGACGCTGGCTGCTGTAAGCCACATTCCCTCGTCATCGTTGCACCTATTCGTCGTTCGACCTGCCCATCATTGCGTCGTTAGAAGCATTCGGCTCCCCTACACCGGGCTTTCGTGCTGCCCTCTTCGTCTACCTAACTCCGCGACCCTTGTCCGGCGCTATTTTGAAACCGGCCCTTCCACATTTCGTCATACCCGCGGTAGAGATGTCTACAAACCATGATGCCATTCCCGAGACTCCTCGTGTGATCTCGCCCTCTCCCACCCCCTCAGACCCGAGCTCGAGCTCGCGAGACTACTTCGGACCCACCACGCGCTCGGCTGCGCGTCGACAACGACTTGGTGAAGTGGCGGAGGAGACCAACAGCGACGCGGATGCGACTCTCAAGCGCTCACGGGCTCGTTCTCGGAGTCCTCCCAGCCCAGAATCAGCGCGAAAACGCAAACGCAAGTCCAACCCTAAACTTCCGACTGGGAAAGCCAAATCACCAACAACGAACGGTCATACCGCATCGAACAATGGGTACCTGTCGCCATTACTCAGGCCCAGTGGCGCTTGGGAGAGCATTTCGCGATCCCCTTCTCCTCTTGGTCTCATTCCTCTCCATAGCCGTTATCGCAGCTTCATCCACCGACATGAAATTCCGCGCAAGCTCTTACACGTCTCCATCGGCTTCCTCACACTACATTTGTACACACGAGGTATTCAACCGCTCGAAATAACCCCGTGGCTCTTTGGCGCTTTGGTCCCCATCGCTTCTGTCGACATCATTCGCCATCGTTCAGAGACAGTCAATAAGCTATATATCCGCTGTGTGGGAGCGTTGATGCGCGAGACAGAAGTTTCCGGTTACAATGGCGTCATCTGGTATCTGTTGGGCGCATATGCTGTCTTGCGCTTCCTTCCCAAGGATGTCGGTGTCATGAGCGTGCTGCTACTTAGTTGGTGTGACACTGCTGCTTCCACCTTCGGTCGTCTCTATGGCCGACACACCCCTCAGCTCCGCAAAGGCAAGAGCTTGGCGGGTACCTTGAGCGCCTGGCTGGTTGGGGTCATCACTGCTGCCGCTTTCTGGGGGTTCTTCGTCCCTTACATCGGGACTTTCCCCAACGATCCTGAAGGCTCTTTCATGTTTACCGGACGCCTCAACCTGATTCCTGCCTCAGTCAAGAATCTCCTCGGCTGGACTGCGGACACTTCCAGCGCTGTCCTGTCGGGTCCTCTGGCCCTTGGAGTCATGAGCGTTGTTTCCGGCTTGGTGGCTGCCGGTAGCGAGTTCATTGACTTGTTCGGCTGGGACGATAATCTGACAATCCCTGTTCTTAGCGGTGTCGGTTTGTGGGGCTTCCTCAAGGTCTTCGGCTGAGACAATTAGACTCCAAATCCCTAATTCCTTTCGGCGTTGGCCGTATTATCCCTTTCCTGTTCCATATTCCCCTTACTATATTTGCTAGAGGACAAATCCCGCCTGACGACCTCTCGTTTCTTTGTTAATATGATGCCGCGCAGCTATTTGTTCATCTTTACTTGCTTCTCTCTCCTCCACGCCTCGCCGATTATCCTACCCACTCTTCTATTGCCATTATTATCATTGTTCTCATTCACTCTAGTGATAACTGGTCAAAGGACACTTGCGGCCGGGGATCACTTCCTGACATACATGGGATGGACTGCTTTGTGATAAATGGATCTAGATAGATCTCCGAGTTCGTGATACCTGGGCGCTTGCAATTGATACCAACCCCTTCTTACTAATTCACTCAAATATCTCTTCTGTATGCTTGATGCTCCGCCTAATAGGATCAGCCTGGCTACTGGATGCATGCTTTCCATTCACCCAGGCTGTTGTTGCCAATGTGAATACCTGTCTACTAGAATAACATGCTACGGTATCTTGCGATGCGTTCCTGGTGCTGCCATATCTCGCCTACCTAGCACATTCAATCGTACTCTGGCTTTCAGGTCAATTTTCCTTTGTAACAATTCATTCCACATTGATGTACGTTCAATTGGTAAACTTGCATCCTCATTCATCGAGGAAGGTGAATATTTTCTATACACATATAAAGAACCGCCGTCTCCCTATTCCTCTCTTTCCTTTCCACAAACAATCTTCCATCCTCTTATCATTTTACAAAAGCTACCCACAATGTTTGATATCCTGGATCCATTCTCATATGACAGGCTTCCTGATCTCGCGAAGGCTCCTTTCATGGTACTCAGCTATCAACAGAATACTGTGCTTTATATCTACCTATTGTACAAGACCGACTAGCATCTGCAGGCCCTAGCAGACGGTTCCTACAAAAGCTCCGAGCGACTAAGCCCAGCCACGTACATCTTTGTCGTTTGAGGTATGCCTTGCCCAAAGTTGTATGCTAGCTAGGGCTCGTGGACATTTAGTCCTGGAATCGCACCAAATCATCAAGCTCCTCCAAAATTTCATCCGCAGAAGCGGAGACACAAAGCATGGGGAGAGAGAATGGGCGTCCCAAACCACACCGCGAGCGAGCCACATCATAATGCGGCGTGATGTTCATTATTGAATGGTAATGGATGGCGATGAGGTAGCGCGACCAGCTTAATCAAAGGAATCGTTCCAAGTCTCCGGATGCTGCTTGCGCAAATGTCATCCGCGGATGATTGAAGGACCAGAACAACTGGTAAGTACACCTTTGTCTTCATGTGATGCGTCCGTGGTTCTGACTAGTCCGCAATAGATAGGGATGGTATCGTGTCGCGCGAAAGAGGGTTGCAAAGAAGGAACGTATCGCAAAGAAGGAAGTGTCCCCCATCTTGAATTGTTGCCTGCGCGACATCAGCGGTCCTTCCAAACGTCTCATGCAACCATAATGAGAAGAAATGGAAAATGGAACCGTGGGCCTGTCATACAAAATTGATGGGATGAAGACCATCGTGTCGATGACTGGCCACCTTATGAAGTGAAACTCTGCGAGACATGGGTCTACCTGGCTGTGAAACTCCTTCCACGACATTGTTTTGCCACGCAGGATCAGAGTCACTTGCCCGTAAGCAGCGTGATGTTGCATTCATTCGCGGCAGGATTTGAGCTTTTCTGATTGCCACTGTATCGTCTAGCTACAGCAGTCCTAATTTGACTAGAGCCGTTGACAGTCCCTCACCTGAAGCACTCGCAAGAGGTCGCACTGGCAATGCTCGACACGTCCCGGACGCCGCCATCTTCTCAAGAGCATTCGTCAAGGTATGGGCCAATCTCAAATGGCTCGAGATGCGCACGCTGTGCAGTATGGAGCTCCTGACGTACGATCTACATGTCATAGCGATGTTTATAGAGCGTTGTGTGTCACCATGACAAGAGACCGAGAATCCTCCCAAACGTCTCGCGCACAATGTATCGGACAGCGATAGACTCAAGGTATTTGAGGATAGGATGGGCCAAATCTACAGAGAGTGAGTCACTCCCAAACATACAAAGCGCCCCCGGCCAGACGATCAGCACAGATCTTCTAGGATCCAAGGGCTGCCTCGGAGGCCTCAACTAGCCCGGAGCGGCCTCTCCTTGGGAGGTCGGGGCCATGCCTGTCGACTCCGGGTCTCATGAGGCAGCCACGGTTCCTAGTGAGCTGCCGGAGGAACCAGCCGCAGCGAAGAGAATTTAGTGGGTGTACCGGGAATATTGGCCGTGCCTGCCCTGCAGTATAGTAGGACTAGTATGTCGTCTTCACAAGCTGCAGTCTTACTCTGCATAATGCACACAGCATCGAATTGCTTCACTATGGCATCCTCGAGAATGCTACGGACAGTAGTCCTGCACCATCGACAGGCGAATCCACCTTCACCCAACACAACCGATGCATTAGCTCGTCACTCAGTGGGAAATATCCCGGGGTATCTAACTGTGGTTCGGTTCGAAACTGCCATTACCACGTCAAAAACCGATCCATGGTCCTCATACAGACGACCATCCCCAACTGATTTGGCCAAAGGGAACCACGGCGGATTTGATATCGGACACGCGGAAGAACGAGGTGGTCAGCGGTATGCCACTACGGTTGCGAATGCCCCCGCAATGATTACCGCAGGTACCACGCTACGCCGACTAGGGATCTGCCTGCACCAACAGTGACTTTTACAGCTACTGCCCCGATCGAAATCCAACCGTTACCAAGCCCATCCCAGTCATCGATCTAAGCGGTACCGACAATGAAGTTGCGGCGCGGCGCAACCTGGTTTGTCTCAGAGGCCAGGTCACCCATTGAGCTGCAATACAGAAAGAGAAGCTTCTCGGACCGAGCGAAGGACCATACGAAATTGGTAGGTGCCACGGGAAATGAATATAAGTCTATACAATTGAAGCTGATTCGGCAGGTTTGATCTGCAGTAGGGGGGACGGGACATGTGGCGTTTCTACTGTGTATAATACTACGTCCTACCGTTATGTATCCTACACTGTGTGTACATGATATGTATCCTCTATCTAAGGAGACATGAAAATAAACAACTTGTTGATCCTGACCATTACAGGCGACGCCATTGAATTGATGAACTTAGTCGGTCCATTGCTGGAAAAAAAACCTAGCAAGTTGTGAATAGTTCCTGAGGAGCATACATGAATCACCCGAATGATCCATACCAGTGGGTTTCTTAAATGTCTCGTTCTGGCTACGAAGTGTCTTCATTTTTCAGTATCTTCGAAGCGAACCACCGCCTCATCCTGCTCAGTTAGGGCTCGGCCGGGATTGGTCTCCTCCCCGCGGCGCCGATGGCGCGCCTGGTATGTCCCTGTTTGTTCTGTTTGTTTCCAAAATATATCTCGATGCACTATACCTATACTGTACACACAACCCTCGAGCAATGGAGCCGGAGGAGTACTATCAATCAGAAGGATATCCTTGTCCATGAAGCTGTCATTGGTAGAATTCGCACGTCCCTCATTTACATTATATGTTCGTAAAGGCTGAGAAAGGTACCTACCTGCCTTAAGAAGGAAGAGGGCGGGGGTTTCAGAGAACCCAGGTGATTCGCTCCTTTCAAGAGACGATGCGTACAGACAAGAAAGGCACAGCTTAGATTGTTTTGATGAGGTCGAACGTATACAGTTAATATCCGGCTGAATCTCTTTCTAGGGCAGAATCTTTCCCAGCCACAGACATCTATTAGATCTTGGTTTGTATAGTCATTTGATTATGTCTAGAATATCAGTTGTTTATCTTGACTATATAATGACGCACCTTGTACCCTAGGCTGTGACAGTCGCTGTCTTGAGTAACCCGCATTACATTTGTTGACCGTCTCTTCTAGGTGATTTTGATGCGACACGTCGCTCTCATCGGGATGGGGACGGTATGAGAACTGGAGTTTGGAACCGGGACTTAGCCGGTCACATCGTCTGGTGAAGCCTCTTGCAGGCGGCCTGATTGTCTTTCCATTTTCAGGAAGTCGAGTGAGACAATCTAGACGTGTTTGCTGACCAAGATAGCCAGAGCAAGGAAAGTTGAGTAGTGGCCCAATATTGTTGTCTTGTATTGTCCCATAGGACAAGACTATCGAAGGGTTTAGTCCTGATATATACTCCTGAGAGAGTCCATGTATATGGGAATCCTCCCGTCTGCCCAGCCGCAGTACGGTATATCATCCAAATCCAGTTAGACAAAGGGATCCTCAGCGAAGATTGCAAAGAGCTGGAGCGCTGGCTTTAAGCGGTACCGGCACAAGGTGTTGTTTCCTGAATGGGAAAACAAGCGGCGGAACACTCATTTGTAGCTCTAGCCACGGCGCAAGTTGCTGCACGACTTGGTAGTATAGGCAATCGATTCTTCAATATCCTTGCGTAGATCACAGTGTCGAGCACAGCGGAAAAGACCAGTTCTGCGACTGATCATGTGAGGAGATGATTGTTAGTGTCCTTTCGCAACGATGAATCTAAAGACCGGAATCATCTGTAATCTTCGCGAGTTGTAGGCGCTTGTCGCTTCCAATCTCCGAGCGCTCCTTTGTCAAAAATCCGTATTTCAAGATGCTTCCCTGCTTCATACCCGGGTCGATGACTTTCTTCCGCGGGCCCGTCTTACGTGTGGCCTTCTTCGGTGCGTTGGCTTTCTCCGCTTTCTCCGCTTCTGCCTTCTTCCACTTTTCCACAACGTCTGGAATCCCTATCGTTGCCAAGGTCTTGGAGATCCAGATCTTATCGGTGCTGTAAGGGTCGTACCGTTTTGTGACACGCCTTTTGATTGTTGTCTGGGGAGCAGGATCCGCGGTGTTCTCAAGCTCCTCTTCGTCTTCGTCGGCTGACGCAGTGGTTCCCGGCGAAGGCAAGGGAGGGTTTGGTTCTTCGGCCATGATGTCCAAGCCAACGACGTCGACGGGAACTATGTCAACCTGATATTCGGTCATACCATCTGTGCTATAGGTTTCTCGGCTCTTGTTGATTTTTTGCAGCATCGGCACTTCGCTGGTAGACAGTCTCGGCTGGTTTGCGGAGAAGGCCGAGGCCTGTTTTCCAAGGCGGAGTCTGTAGCAAACTAGAGGTTCGGCCAGTAGTTTGGTCACCTTTCTCGCACCGGAACGATACTTCCAGTCGAAGGTGTCAGCGGTGAACCTTCTCAGCTGCACCGCGTCAATCTCTTGGTCCCATGCATTCCTCAAGCGGTGCCGTAAAACATCGATCTCACTCTTTGTCGACACCACGGGCTTGGCATAATATGATAAAACAGTTTTGTCCGGGAATGTCTCCGGCACTCGGACAACCTTGTGCTTGGTCTGGAAGTAGCCGCTTTCGTTCTCCTCGAGCTCATATTGAAGTCTTTCTCTCCACTCGCTCAGCCGCTCCTCCATGTCGGGACCATTGGAATCGATGATCTCCAACAAATCTTCTCCGAAGCCCGCTCTGGCAATTTCGCCGGCCAGTTTGCTGCCACATTTCGGAACACCAGAGGGAAGGTAATCACCACCGCTTAGCATCGCAAACAAGATCATGCCTGCACGATCCAGCATCGCATTCGAAGGCGAGTTGATCAACATATTAGAAGGGTACGCAGCGCTGTCCATGCGATAGCATGTGACATGGGTCGCCGCCGCATTACCCGTACCGCTCTCTTTCGAGAAATTCATTACTGTAAACGTTGAACCAAACATCAGAGCATCAACGTCGTTGCTCATAACGGCATCAACCACTCCGACTTTTTGCAGCCTCGCGCACTCAGCTTCAGCCTCTCCGGGCGCATCGTGGCGTGGAAACCGGAACAAATCCACCATGATCTTCGACAGCCGAATGATCGGCGCACTCCCGTAACTGCGCGCGGCCACCGCGCGACCTCGTTTGAAAGGTGGCTTATGCTGTCCATCATATACAAAGAGCGGATGGATGGGCAGTGCCAGGATTTTCAGCAGCCGGTAGAATAAAGTGCGCAATTCGGGGTTTCGGCCGCCCCGACCGGCTTGCACCTGGAAGAGCCAGATGGAGATGTCCACTGCGACACGAATGGGTCTTGCATTGCGTTCCAAATGTCCTATCGCCAACCTGGACAAAGAAATTCGCTCTCCAGTACCAATCGCTTGGATAAGGCTTTAGTGTTGCTTAAAATTAGCAAAGAGGGACTGGGAGGAGTTGGTGGTTGACATGTCTATTTCTCTCGTGCGCTCACGTGCAGACGGGGAAAACGGAGATGGATTTGTTTGTCCTTCCTCGAGGGGAATCGGCAGCACGGAGAAAAGACGGGGGGGGGGGGTTTTCTGGTTTCACTCACCCTGGGATCCCCATTCCGACTGCGCTCTCGATTCCAGAGCTGTGTGCGACCAAAAGGATAGCCCAACCTACCACAGGCGGCACTCCAGAGAGCCACCCTGAAAGAACAGTAAATTGGAAAAGGGTAAGAGAGAAGAGAGGCCGACCGAACGGAGATGTGTTGTTGTTTTGACGGCGACCGACAACTGGGCGATTGGCGCGGCCCGATGTAGATCCGCCCGCCTTTGGAGATTCATGCGCTGTGTTGCTGCCCGCTCAATCAATCGCCTCGCTGCTTTCCCTGTCGCATTTAAGTCGGCCAATTTGCTCAATTGGCCCAAGGGATTGATTCACGGCTGGCTGACTGCCAAAAGGTCTTCCAAGTTGAAAGTCTCGCCGCAAAGGGAAGCATGATCGCTGCGTGTGACCCTCGGACCTCCAAACCTTCCCCGCGCTGTTAATTTGAGGAAAGAAGCCAGTACAACAAGAACGACATTAACGAACGACGCCCGGATTCCCCTCTAAGGAGGCTCAAAGACCACCTAAACCATGGCTAGCTCATCAATCACCAGTTCTGGATATGATGACAACAAGCGTCCCTTTTCCATGAGCAGTCTGCGCGGGACTCCGTCCTCCCCCCACACCCCGCAACATCACCTGCGATCCAACAACTCCTCCTTCGCCAGCACCACATCGAGCACTTCCTTCCGCGGCGAAGAAGATGCCATCATTTTTGAGCTTGGCGCCCGCTGGCTCCGGGCTGGCTTTGAGGGTGAAAGCGTCCCAATGTGTGTGGTAGGCTGCGGCCCCGAAGAATGCCGCCGCGTGGGCGACTACCGCGGCTGGTTGAAGACGAACAACCCAGATACCGACCCGGCACAGTCGCGCCCGCTTGTCAACCCAGAAGACTGGGCGAGCGCCTACGAGCTCTGGAAGATGGACCTTCGGGGGGCCGACCTGGGCCTTGTGGAGGACAAGATCGAGCGGGTGTTCCGAGAGACCTACAACAAATACCTGTTGACGGACGCGGGCACGTCGCGACTGGTGCTGGTGCTCCCCGCCATCATGCCGCACCCGTTGCTGTCGGCCATGCTGTCGACGCTTTTCAGTCGGTGGCGGTTCCCGAGCATCACGTTGTTGACTAGTGCTACGATGGCGGCGACAGCGGCCGGGGTGCGCTCCGCCCTGGTGGTGGATATCGGCTGGGCGGAGACGGTGGTCACGGGGGTGTATGAGTATCGCGAGATCGCCATCAAGCGGAGCACACGGGCTATGAAAGCCCTGCTGCAAGAGACGGGTCGAATGCTCACAAGTATCCCAACGGCGCGGCGAGGTGTTGTCTCGCAATCAGCACCGGGCGACAGTGGAATATCGGTCCGCTTCGAGTTCTGCGAAGAGGTCGCCAGCAGATTTCTATGGTGCAGGCCCCGGGAGAGTCCCTCATCAGCAGATTTGCAGCAGCAGCAGCAGCAGCAACCACAACCCAACGACAGCGAAACCGAGCCCACCACACAACATCCCCCACTCTCTTCCCTCTTGCAACGGACAGTGGAGATCCCGTCCCCCTCGAACCCAGGATCTACCTACATCAACCTCCCCTTCTCCACGTTCAGCGAACCCGTCGAAAGCGTCCTCTTTGCTGCTGGTACAGCAGACTGCGAGCTCGACGACGAAGAAAAGCCTCTCCCGCTCCTGATCTATAATGCCCTACTTGCCCTGCCGCCCGACGCCCGCGGCACCTGCATGTCACGCATCATCTTCACCGGCGGCGGCGCCAACATCCCCGGCATCCGCCAACGAATCCTGGCGGACGTTGCAGCCCTTGTCGCCGAACACGGCTGGTCGCCCGTCCGCGGTAAAGTCATTGAACAACAACGACGCAAGCTTGCTAACCCCCGAATCACCCCTTCATCTCAAGTTCAAGCCTCCCCTCAAAATCCAGCACCTCCTCTGACAACGGACCCCAGCGAGGAACACCACCCTGTCCCGTCGAACGATACACCCACGGAGACGAAGTCTCCCGAACCACCAACCCACCAACCAGAACCAAAGCCAGACTCAGCCACAGAGACCCCCAAGCAACAACAGCAGCAGCAGCAGCAGCAGCAGCAAATCCCCGAAGGCCCCCCCAAAACCTCGGACGAAGAGAACCTCGAAGACCCCATCGAGCAGAAAATCCGGCGGAACAACCGCGACCGCGACCGCGACGCGCTCCCGCCGTCCGTACAGGGGGTGCTGCGCGAGGTCGAATCGCTGGGCCCCTGGGCCGGGGCGAGCTTGACCACCAGCCTCAAGATCCGGGGTCTGGTGGAGATCGAGCGCGAGAAGTACCTTCAGCATGGTCTTGCGGGGGCAACTCGCGACTTCGAGACCCACGGGCACCACGTCCCCGATCGGCGGTCGGGGTTGAGGGCCGGAGGCGGCGGGGATCGGTCGAGTTGGACGCTGGCGGGATGGGGGCAGTAGACTTCATCGGTTACAGTCGGTCCTCGTTTGCATTAAATTTCTTAGCACTGACTGCGTTGTTTGTATACCCATTTCCTTCTACAGTGCTGTGTACTCCGTTGATTAGACTTGAGCGTTTCCTTTAATCTATGAATAAGTAGGGGGTTTATCCTCTTTTGAGTGGGACGATGAGGTCGATGAGCTAGAGGGCTTAAGGATGAGTGTTGCAACCTACGGTGACTAGTTAGACCTAAGTTGGAGGTCCCTAAGATCATTTTATGTACATGGTTGCAGAGATTCTACATCAAAAAGGATAGTTTCAAGAGCCAAGGAGGTAAGACCAAGTGTCATAGAAAGATGCCTCGAGAAAACATTGTTCTTTTTGGCGTCGCTAAAAAAGAAGAATATTCAAGCAATCAAGCAAAACTTGTTTTCGCCAGCCCCGCAGCAGCAGCAGCAGCAGCCTAGACGGTGCCGAATCGGTAGGTGGCATAGTTGACGGCCGGGCCGGTCTCAGGCGAGTAGATCTGATCCGACAGCTGGCCCCACTCCGGGTTGTTGATGCCGTCGATCCAGCCCTCCGTCTCGATCACCAGACAGCCGTACTTGTTGACGTACTCGGCGCCGTCGATGCCCTCTTCCTTGTTGAGCTTGATCTGGGAGTCCTTGATGGGAATAGTGCCGTTCTGGCCGTTGCAGGAGTAGATCTGCAGGGCTTGCTGGTTGGTGGCGACCTCCAGGCTGATGCCGGTGGTGCTGGAGTTCAGGCGCACGATGGGTACGATGGAATTGGGGGCGGTGTACTGCGTAGGACGGTCGACAATGAAGCAGTTGTCGTACCCGGTGCAGTTGGAGCCGCAGAGGTGAACGGCCTCGTCGATGTCCTGACCGACCAGTTTGCCTGCAGTGAAGTCCGCAGAGCCATTGTAGGCGGTGTTGACGTCGAGGATGCTGCCGTCAGGAATCAGGATCCCGTCGGTGCCGATCAGGCGCTTGGAGAGAGGCAGTTGGAGCCAGGTGTCGTCGAGGATGGTCTCATTTTTGAACGCATTCAGATTCCAGTAGATGTGGTTGGCAAGCATGATAGGGGTGGTTTCCGTCAGAGCCAGAGCGACCAGTTTGGTGGTCAATTGGGGCAAGCCCTCTGGATTCTCGTTGGTGGCCTCGGTCTGGACACTGAACGTGGCATGGGTGATCACATCGCCCGGAAAATCCTCAAAGGCACGGTCAACCAGAGTGAAGGTGATGGACGAGTTGGAGTACGCGGTGACGGTCCAGTTGCGGCCATCATAACCCAGTGGACCTCCGTGGAGGGTGTCTTTGCCGCCATTCTCGTTCTCAGGAATATGATATTCCTCGGTGCCAATTGAGAACGTGCCGTTCTTGATGCGGTTGGCATATCGGCCGACAACGGCCCCAAAGAAAGTGCGGTTGGTCTCCGTGTCTTGAAGGTACCGCTTTGGATCATCGTAGCCTACAACCACATCCTGGAAATTCCCATTGCGGTCTGGGACTTTGAGCGATGTCAAGCGTGCACCGTAAGGGATCAGAGTTGCACTGATGTTCTTTGCACTGATGGTGTAGGCCTTGAATGGGTCTGTTGTCGTCACTGCCACTGCAGCCTGGGACAGTACAGGCAGCCCATAGAGGGCGGTGGAAAGGTAGCTCTTGAGATGCATTCTGATTCCGAGTAGAGTGGTGACCGCAAGGCACAGGCAGCAGTACAGGAACAAAATCCGGGGAGTGATACGGGCAGGGCAGAGGGTGGAACGGAAACAACCGAGCAGCTGGGGAATTCCCTGGCGGGTTGTGGAGGAAGGTCCCATCGTTCTATTTAACTACTCCACATTAGGGCTCTTCTACCTCATGATGGCGCGCCTGACCGCCGGCGGAGGGGGCGGGGGTGGCAGCAGCACGCAGGAACTGGGGTAGGAATGCCGCTACTGGTGCTCATGGTTAGCCCATGTCGTCAATTGTCCGACGGGGGGGGAGGCATCGTCATCTTACCCGCAGATTGGGGACGGTGTAAAAGTCAACCTGTCAGGGGAACAGATGCCAAGTATGTGGAGAGCTAATCAAGCTACACCTCGAAAAGCCAAAGCTCTGTTGCCCGGGGGGTTGGGGGATTGGGGGATTGGGAGCAAGGGTGACGGGAAAAGTTGGTCCGCGTCTGACCACCTTAGCTCCAGATCTAGAGATGACGCGAAAGCCCGGGATGCAAAGTGAGGGGGAGGCGGGAGAGGAAGATGCAAGCGATGATGAGATCAGACCGGAAGGAGAAAGGTAGGAATTGGTAGAGTAGAGAGCAGGGATCGTGACAGTCACGGTAGTTAGTCTAGTAGTGTAGGATGAAGCCACGGGAATGGAGCAAATCAGCCTAAGGGACAGAAAAGGGGGTCCAAGCCACGGGGTGAGTTAGTGCCACTTAGTGGTGGAAGGCACTAGTCCGGTTCGGGCATATTCCGGTGGGGGAATTGGTTTGCGGGGAAATGGCAAGCGTCCCGTCGATCATCTAAGCTTGCGATGCTTACATACACCTCCTCTGTAGTTAACGTTACTACCTATGCCACATGTCTGCTCCCCGTAAGGTACTCTACTCTGGTCTACCCGGGTACTCTACGCTCTCTGACCCATGTTGTTGCGGATTTACGTTGACAAGCTTCGGTGCAGTGCCGATTGCCGAGCTGGGCACTGGTCAGTGAATAGTGTAGTACTCGAGTACCAGTATACCGGTTAAACCATGGCGTGATGTTGCATGAGGCTTGAGCTAGCCTGTAAGCGAGTGGTCTCTCTTCCAGCAAGTCGAATAAAGGATCTGGTTATAATATAGGTAGGTGGTGAGCTATCCGTCGAGGCGTATGCATGGGAAGCTATTGGTAGCCTGAGGCATCAGAATGGAAAGGAACAACCTACCGCCCGCTTACCTAGTGCCTAGTTCCTCAGGCCTCCAAAAGTCCGCCCTGCCTGATCGGGAGACTTGTTTATGTTATGCGTGGATAAGCACGCAAATTCCCCCCTTACCCTGCCCTTAGATCTACAATTGAGTCTACTCTGGACTGTGAGAAAACGCCTTTGGCTTCTTATTTGTTGAATTTCCCCACGAAATGTCGACCGCCAGATAGCGCCCGACGGTGGTGTATCCTCTCTTTCAATGAGACGCGACGGGCGGACTCGAGAGTCGCCCCTCCCATGGTCTGCGAGCTGCGTTCATAACCCGATATGTCCTCTCGCACCTCGAGTTCCTCCTCTCCCGACATTCTTGGGCCATCTGGCGATAGTGATTATCTAATCTCCTCGCCCTTCAAACCGTTCACTGGTCGTCAGAGCTTCATGTCGCCAGCTGACTTCAACCTCCTCCAGAGTCCGCGAACGACGAAACGGCAGAAGCGGTCGCGGCTCAACCTCACACCTGGCGCCCATTCTTTCGAGTTCAACGATGTCGTTCTTCCCGCTTCGCCCAACCTCAAACCGAATAGAAAACAGAAAGCTTCATCTCCCGATAAACTCCAGTCCGACGGGAATGTCAGTCCGTGGAGGATTCGCGTGACTTTGGAAGCGACGCAAGACCAAGAGAACAACAACGATCACGGAAGTCCCACGCCAAAACGTCTGAGACCATCGACCATGGTCACAAAAATACCACTCAAGGATGAGTCCGAGCAGACACCACGGAGGCGTAGAGGCCGTCCAAGGAAGTCCGATACACTACTACTCGATGCGATACCAGCCGCAGGCAGCCCCGGTCATACCCCAGGTCCGCCCGGGTCTGCGCAGAAGCGAAAACGCGGTCGACCGAAAAAGACCCCGCTGAAGGAGGATGCGGTCACGCGACGCGAGCGGGATATAGGAACACTAGACATGGATACTCCGACCGCTGAGTCTCGATCGCGATGGAGTCCTCTGAACCTTGCTGGGGACGCAGGGTCGGATGAGGACGATGGTGGATCCCCCCAGGACGAAGAGAGGGTCGATATATTCGACGATGAACTCTCACCGGAGCAGTCTGCGGTGGTCAATCACGATAGCACTACTCCACGGGCGACATTTGAGCCCACATACGATACCCCACAAGTTGATCATCTAGACAACGAAGAATACAACTTGAACTCCACCCCATCTAAGATGCCGTCTCCCGTACGGGAATTGCAGTCCAGCTCGTCTAAAAGCACGTTGCATGCCGGTCATACACCCAGACCGCCGCGCCTATACCCTACCCCAACGACATCTTCGCCGGTCGCGGGAGAGGAAACAGTGGCGCAGTCCCAACGAACAGCTGCACCTAGCGGCAATCGCCGTACCCGTACATCATACGGCAGGAACGATCCGACGGACGAGCATAAAGAGTTCGACTCGATTATGGAAAGTGAAGGATTCAGTATGGTCTCCCTGGATACTCTTCCATCAGCCAAGCAACATGGCCTCGGTGGCGATAGCAATTCGAAGATCGCCAAGAATGCTCTCAAGCCGTTCCTGAAGCGAGAATCGAACGGCGTCCTCAGGCAGAGAACATCACTCGACCCTGAAACTCATGGCGGCAGTAAGCCCGTCTCTCACGCAGAGATAGAGCCAACACTGGAGCAACAGGTAGAAGACCACCATCGCACGCGCATCGCTCACTCCGTCGAATCTAATACCTCAATGCAACACGCATCAGATGGTAGATCAGCCTCCACAAGAAGCATCCGCCCTTCCTCTGCCGTTCCGACATTGCGTCCTGTCCAAGAAGGCCAGAGGCCATTACTCAGACTCGTCCGCATTATACGCGCCGGTATTGCTTTACAAGGTCCTCTTACAGAACTGAAGGAGGGGAAGCAGCGAACCTTACAGTATTCTGACTCCGCTCTAACCGCAAACCGACAACGCCTGCAACTTCTTTTCCAGGATCTGAACCCCCAGTCCCAACAAGTTCTGCAGGCAGGCTTGGCCTTCGGACAGCAACTTGCGAAGCAGAGACAAGTGGAACTAGAAACATACCAACAGTCGCTGGTCGCAGACGCCAAGACCAATGCCAGAACTGTATTACAGAGCAGAGAAGCCAGTTTTTCAAAGTCACCTCAGCCGGCGCTGAGTGCGGCAGATTTTGATACTCCCGGCTCCGTCATGAGGCGACGGATGGAGGAGTGGCAACGTGAGAGGGAGGCCATCAGTCGGGAAATTCAGATGGCGAATTCTAGTCAAGTCATTGTCATCGACAGCGACAGGAGTGACCAATCAGACCTTGCAGCCGAACAAGACGAAGAGTGGAACGAGGATGACGGCTTCGATAATGAACCCGAAGAGGCACCCAGCCAGGATGGGTACGTAGAGGCAGAGCAAGCGAACGAGGAAGATGACGACGAGGGTTATGAAGACATCTGGCAGCAGGAAGCAATGGAACAAGGCAACCAATCACATCGCTTGTCTATGCTTGACAATGATAAAAATGACCTGCACCCTAGGCAGGATGAGTCGAGCCCATGGAAAACTGGCTGGACCCCGGCCCGCAGTCAGACGGGGCGACTATACTCTCCGGCTCACTGGACCAAGGAGCAGGACACAGTGCCATTTCTCGGTCGTTCGCGGGTCAAGCAGTTGCGCGAGGAAAATGTTGACCTCACAAATTTGTATCGAGGAGATCCTACCCCGAAGCGTCGCCGTTACTACTATGGAGAAGGTAGTCCTTCGAGTGATGCGAGCCAATCACAGTCTGAAGGTGGTTCGCCATCAAACCAAGCATCTCACAGGCAAGGTGTTCACGAACATGCGTCTGAACATGATCGGCTGTCAGAACACTCGATAGAGCTGAGCTCGCACAGTGACTTGGAAGAAGGGACGTTTCAGATAGATCCCACCACTAGGTTGGAGATGGCCAGGCAGAATAGTGGACGAGAAAACATGAGAGACGATGTTGAAAGTCTTGCCGATGCCGCTGCAGCCGAGGGACAATACTTTCAAGCTGCAACTGACAACACCCCCGATCCTCCACGACGAGCCAGCCCGGACAACCAAGCATCATCCTGGTTTCAAAAAATCACTAGCCTGACACCTGGATGGCTCAAAGCGCCCAAGTCTTTCCGGCCAGCTTCCCCAAGGGAGGAAAACCCAGTTGTATACGAGGAGGAAGCAGTAACCACGACAAAATCAAGACGCGCTCGTGATGAGTTTGAGTCGAAACGCTTGGAGGGCGTCCCAGGACCATCATCTCACTTTGCAGAGCCAGGAGATGAGCAACAAACCTCTCCGGATCGCAGATCTTATGGATCACTGGACGATGCGCGGGACCCTTTTTACGAGGAAGTGAGGGAGATGAGGCACAAGCGGCAAGCAACTCGTTACTCCGGGCACTTTTCCAATGATCATTACCGTTTGTTGCATAACCTCTATCGCTTGTCTAAGAAACACCCTGAGCGCTTCCCTTATTATCCGGCTCCTGGTCGGACCGACATTATTGGAGATTGGATCTGGACTTCAGACGGGGTCTTTGGAGTCCCAGTCACGGAGGATCAGTTTGCGATCATCGACAGGTTCGCACAGCAAGTCTCTCGTGACGACATCAGGGCCGGCGGTACAGGACAGATTACTTGGACAGAGGCCGACTTGCATAGAAGATTGATCAGCATTATCATAGGCGAACAGATCAGAAAGGAACGGCGACCTATGCGCTACAGGGATCATCCGGGGATAGGCAACTCTCAAAGCAGGGACACAGTCTATGAGACGTGGCGCAGATAAAGGCCCAGAGTTGCAGGCTGCTGGTCACTGACGTGCAAACCCCGATGCACAGATTTTATGGAACTCAAGACTCCGCTG